CCAATTCAACGCCTTTGTATTCTTATAACCTGTCGGGGAATCCTTCACAAAACAGTCACGTGTCGTCACATTATCTGCCAAAATGACCCCCTCTCTCCAAGGGAGATCACTGGAGTAATAAGGAATTGAGATGATGGCGTCCCTTCCTCCCCTTGCAAAGGTTCATGTAAACGCACGCTCCGTATAAACACACGCTAAGGAGCCTTCCCGAGCACCGTGCGTTTATGCAGAGACTACTGTACTATTATGTTCTGAATTTCCAGATTTGCTATTCATAGCTGGCCACCTTCTTCATAGGGGTGCACCATATTATAAAGTTCTCTTTTCTAATCTCGCTGCATCAACATTTCCCCCCTTTCTCAAATCTGTGCAGAAATTAATTATCAGGTCCAGAAATTTTTATTGGTACTTGCTGAAATAGTAGAGACAATGACAGAAGCACCCAGTCCAGTCTCGTCAAAAAAAATTATCTCAGCAGAAAAAAAGACAAAATCAACGTATCAACTTACAATTAGCACAAAACACGAAAGAGAGAGTGACAGACAGACAGAGAGGTGGGGGGAAGGAGGGATGGAGGTTCCCTCTCCCACTTTTTTTTTGTCGTTGTCCTGAAGACACAAGAGAAGCAAAAATTTGTTGGGAAAGTACAGGCGATGTAAAAAAAGATTTTTAATCTTTTATGTTTTCACAAACAAAAATTTAACAACTCACAAATTGCCATACTTTCTCCGCCATCCTTGAAAGAAAGCAGGTGTCTACTGTGAGCCAACTATCAATGCTGTAGCTTTGTACGGCTTAGCTGACCTTGAGACCCAAACAAGACTGTCAACTTGAATATAAACATGACGCATATCTGTTCATTCAGAGTAATTACAAACCTCAAATCTGTTCTCCAGAGTGGGCTTATCCACTCCAGCAATGTCAACTATGTTGACAAATTGGGCATTGGTGTGGTCCTTCAAAAACGACAGTACAGGGATCGCACCATCTGGGTGAATCATGACCTGGCAGGGGTAAGAGAAGAAAAACAATTTGAAGAATCAAACCTCACACTGAAAACCCATTAACTTAAAAAGTATTATGTATTTGAGATCCAAGACGTAGTGTCATTGCATAAAAGTGGACCAAGACAAAGTAGAAGTAGAACACTTCTTATCTACCACGCCATTAGAAAAGAAAAAAAAAAAATGCTTCCCTGATGGTTCACATGTGGTTGTCTGTGCTTTTAAACAGAACAAAGCTTTACATCATTCTCCATAGAGGCAAGTAACTTGTAACAGCTTAATTTTAAAAGGATACATATATCAGGTACCAGAAACTAAATTTTCAAAGTGGCTGTATGCCAAATTTATCAGTTCAATTTGAAAGGCCTATATCCACTGAGCATTTTGGTACCATTTTTTTAACCTCTCAGTCAATTTTTAAGAAAATGGTAGTTGTTTAAAATTTCATCAAATTTGTTAAAGTCAGTCACTGGCTGCAACCCCATGTTTGACAGACAATAAAAGAGTACCAAGTGCACTAAACATCTCCACATTAACAGAGTACAATCACTATAACAAATATATGGAGCCTAATTTTTTTCAAGACTGTGAGATCATTACAAATCAGTATATTATTGCCTCAAACGCGATGATCTGTCGTTATTTCGACAAAAACACGTTGACCCCGCCGGCGGCGCACCAGCCCCCGCGGCGAGCGAGTCGGCTCTATACTGTCATGCGGGTCACATGCTTTCTGAGTCTCGCGGAAGGATTGATAAAAAATAATTCCAAATTGATTACTTTATTCTAATAGGAAATGAGCTGATCTTTTATTTGATATATTTTTTAAGCCAGTATTTTACATATTTTGTGTAAAAAGTGATCTTTAAACATTTTGACAGTATTTTCAAAAGCTTTCTATTTAGACACCAAGCTTCGCTTTCGTCGGCGATTCTCCAGCTCCAACTAATCGGACATAAAAACAACTTACACCATTGTAACGAGGAAAAGCTGAACTTTTACAAGGTGTACGACATTTGGTGTTTTATAGCGAAAGAGCAAAGAAACAGCGATTGGAATTACCCCGATTTCACCGATACCACGCGGTCGGAAGGCCGCGAGTGCTCGCGAGGCCGTGATTACACTACCTACATATATATACATGTACCTTCTTTTCCTCCAAAGAAAAAAATATCAATTTTTCTATCATTAGCAATGTTTAATGAACTCAGTCCCTGGGCCCCAATAAATAACCCCGCTTTTAACCACTTTCTCTTTTTAGGTACCAGAAACTAAATTTTCAAACTTGCTGTATGCCAAATTTATCTGTTCCATTTGAAAGGCCTATATCCACTGAGCATTTTGGTACCATTCTTTAACCTCTCCGTCAATTTTTAAGAAAATTGAAGTTGTTTAAAATTTGATCAAATTTGTTTCAGTCAGTCACTGGCTGCAACCCCATGTTTGACAGACATTAAAAAAAGTACCAAGTGCACTAAACATCTCCACATTAACAAAGTACAATCACTATAACAAATATATGGAGCCTAATTTTTTTCAAGACAGTGAGATCTTTACAAATCAGTATTTTATTGCCTCAAACACGACGATCTGTCGTTATTTCGACAAAAACACCGAGCGTTGACCCGGCGGCGGCGCACCGGCCCCCGCGGCGAGCGAGTCGGCTCTATACTGTAGTGTACCCCGCGTGCGGGGTCACATGCTTTCCGAGTCTCGCGGAAGGATTGATAAAAAATAATTCCAAGTTAATAACTTTATTCTAATAGGAAATGAACTGATCTTTAAATTGAAACCTGTTATAAGCTGGTATTATACATATTTTGTGTAAAAAGGGATACTTTAAACATTTTGACCGTATTTTTAAAAGCTTTCTATAAAGACGCCAAAGGCTAAACTTATATCACGGGAAAGCCCGTTTAAAGCTCTACAGTTCTCCGCCAATGAAAAGACGGTATTTAATCATCCCTCGTTCCGCGAAGCATTTGAATGCATGCGTGTCAATTTTCCAACCGGCCGACCACGCATTCCGACCGCGAGGGGCTTCGCTTTCGTCGGCGATTCTCCAGCTCCTAATGATCGGACATATAAACAACTTACACCATTGTAACGAGGAAAAGCTGAACTTTTACAAGGTGGACGGCATTTGGTGTTTTATAGCGAAAGAGCAAAGAAACAGCGATCGGAATTACCCCGATTTTACCGATACCACGCGGTCGGAAGGCCGCGAGTGCCCGCGAGTGCCCACGAGGCCGTGTTTACGCTACCTACTCTTTTCCTCGAGCAGAACAGACAGAAAGTTGGAAGGAAAAAAAAATGTTTGGTTAAGAATAATGTTCATACCTCCAAGTCCCCATGATGGGACACCTCCACTTTTTGCACATATTTTGGAAGGCATTCAGCAACATAAGCTCCAAAGTCCGTTAATTGCTGCTTCACCAGGGGACTAGGTGAAGCTACAGTCGCTAAAAACAGAAGATACAAATTCTTGTATTAAATTAGCTTTCTTCTTACTGAAGCTTCATTATTTAAGAACTTAAATTTATAAATATTGCCAGGCAAAAATATTAAACAAAACATAACACATAGAATTCAGTAAGCTCTGCCATGACAGCTAGTGGACGAAAAATTAAACTTACTGTGAAACGACCAAAGATGACTGAAAAACCATTACAGGGTTAACAGTTCCACTATCATTTCAACTAAAAACATACCCTTCTCTCTCTCTTACACAAGAAAAACAGACAGGCACATCACTGAGGTAAAAAAAAAATCTTAAATTTAGAGTATAGTACAATTTTAAAAGCAATCCAACACTATGAGCAACTCATGATAAACTTTGTACCAAAAAAAATTTGTAAAAAATTTGTCAAATAATCACTAGTTTGTCCAAAAACATAAGGGTTATTTTTTTTTGTAAGGGTTTTTTGGCGCTCACAACTGCATAAGGTCATATGAGCACGCAGGACACATTAAACTTAAACAAACACCTCTAGGCCACGAGAGCCCCCATACAAGGATTAGTAACTGGCGCTAAAAACAAGTCACTTACGTTTGGACGAGCCCGCCTCTGTGGTCTGGAATCTAAGCCCATGACTCAAAGCAGGAGCAGCACAATTATTCAAAGCTGAGGAGGAGATTTCATAGAATGTTCAGTAAGAAACTTTGGCTGAATTATTACAGGAGGGAAACAACAGCCGACACAATATTTCCAATTCTTTACTTTGTCTTCTGCCATGCTTGGAAAAAAACCCACCAAAAAAACACCCCAGATTCTGCGTGTTGTTCATCCTGAAAATAAAACTACAGGCATGCCTTGACGGACCCAACATGAGGGAGGCCTAGACCAAGACAGATTCGAGGTGAATCGACTTTTGGAGGATAGAACATTATTAGCAACCGTCTCACTGCACGGTGTGTCATGGGTGATCCAGGCATGGTGACATTTTTTTGATAACTTGTGATATGATCTTGGAAGTTTCTGAATAGTTGTCTTAAATTATTTAACATTAAATTCCTGTCACCAAGAAAGGATTTCAAATCCCTGGTATTTTTTTGTCATTTTAAAATTCGATGCTTTGCCACTTCCCTAACATAGATGATAGAGTATTATTTTAAACACAAAAAGAAATTCTCTGGCCTCAAGCAGGTTTTTTACTGATTTTTGTTAATCTTATAGATCTATCTGTTACTATTACTACCATACAATAAAAAATGTACACATACACTATGATCTTGGATTTTTTAAAAGAAGAGCACTTTTTTGTGTGTTAACACTTTACCCTTCACATATCGGCAAGAACGTTGAATTTCCACTCCTTGTCCCAAAACACCGCCCCCTAGTTTCTTTGGATTTCCCCCAAAATGCTTGTGATAGCAAGGGTTTTTAAATGAGCCTTGTGATGGCAGCAAAGGGTTAATAAAAATACAGTCGAGTCTTATTAGACAAAAATTATATTCAGACTCTGAGTCGAGTCCAGCATGACGTCCGTTCCGACTTTCGACCCTTGTTCCTAAATATTTCCAGCATTCATGAAAATTTTATTCGATTATAATAATAACAATCGAGACATGAGCTTTGATATCCAGAGTTACTACTAGATTTATCTAAACTGGCCCTCCCTGCATCATTAGTACGAACAGAACGAGAGAACAACCAAGTTGAGTTGACCTTGGCGGGGGCAAAGTTAACTATGTCAACCAATGAGATTTTGCACATAGTGATCACGCACTCTCGGCTTGCTGGGGGAAGAGGTGTTGAGAAGAGGCCACGACTGTCAATTTTGTGCGATGTGATTTTTAAAAAAAATTAATTACAGAAAAACTAAAACACACAACAAAATGAAATTAAACATGTATTATAATAGTAATAGAAAGACAAATGGTGGTGGAAGTAATGATGGTGCTGTAGAGGTGGGGGAAAGACCCTGAGTTGTGGGTTACTGTGTACTTAGACACCACCATTGGGCAATGAGAATGCAGGTTTTTTAAACTTTTGACACTTAATTACAGTCCTAGTAGGTAACTCTAGTTCTAATTCTGGTCTGTTTAGGCAGCGGCTATTTGGACTCAAGTCTGAATAGCCCCCCATGACTTATTCGGACTCACTCCGAGGCGTGTAGCGGATGTGAAGCGGACAGGCAATTCGACCTTGGCCTTCCTCGGTTTCTACGATGTGGCCAAAATTTCCGACACAAATTAAGAAAAGTATTAGTGACGTCAAAAGTAAACAACAGTTGCAAAATGGTAATCTGACCTGAAATACTACACAACAAAGGAAAACAGGGAAACGACAATCTGAGCTCAAAGCAGTGGAAACAAAAATTGAAAATCAAAGTTTCAGAAAATAACAAAGGATCCATAAACTACCAAAGGTAGTCTAGACCCGCTTTACTTGACGAGAAAGACAAAATCATTGATCTATTGGAAGTCCAGTCAGAAACTAAAAAGAAAAAAATTAAAACCCTTCCAAAGGGAACAAAAGTCAGTCAATCAAAGTAACGCGCATTGGATTTTGAATCCGAATAGCCACGGCAGGCTATTCAGACTTGAGTCCGAATAGCCACTTCATTTACGTCAAATCCCCCGACGACAGTTTTTGCAACCTCCTTACACTCACATAACTCACTTAGAAGCCAAGTCCGAATAAACAAAACATTTTTTTCCAACCCGAGCCTGAATAGATAAAAACCCATAATTTATCATATTCTCTGACATCCACAGGGGGTTCAGGCCTCAGAGTCAGAGGGGATAAAATTGACTGTTAGGTCAGCTAGGACTAGACTAACAATTTACTTAGTAAGTTATAGGTCGGTCCAAACTTTCAAACTTCTAATCTAACGGAACGAGAAATCCTGTCTTCTTCTAGAGCAAGCTATAGAAAGAGGCTCAAAATCTTACTTCCAAATCCAAGTGTAACACGCAGATATTCTAATGAAAGAGGTGAGTTGTGAGGAGACTTTGTACCACAATGATTCAACAATGTCAACAAATGAGATGATGATCTCGGCATTGTATAATTAGAGAAAAGAGTCTACACATGATACACTAACACAAGCGAAATAGCTAGAGAACGACAACTAAACGCCATTGACCGATATTTATAGTAACAGGCATAGAGATCTTGTTTGACCTTGCATGGGGGATGCCCGCCGTGCCATCTGATCGTGATTCTATAGGCCTGGTGATGATTTTGCGTAGCGTGCGGTTTTCACTGGCAGTTTCCAAGCTTCCCTCTTTGAGTTTTTCCAAGTGGTTCCCCCTCGTCCTAGTGTATACTGCTTTTGCACCTCATAATATCCATTTGCAAACTTTGCAGTCTCGAATTACATGAACTCCATTTGCAGCTCAGCGTCCTATTGAGTCCAATCTCTTGAAAGGAGTGCTTAAAATTTCTTGTGCTTTATGTGTACAAACTTTAAAAGAAACACGTATGCCCTTACAGAGAGAACGTTAACATGGCCTTTGCGCATGCGTCACTTGTTTTAAAAGCGCTTTCGGTAAAGTGTCATATATCTAGGTCAGAGGTCAGAGAAAAATGATCAACAATGCAAAAACGTTGTACGCCTAACTAATCACATGCAACAACACAGTGGGCGTAAAGAGGGCTACGATTAGTTGAAGCTTTGACCCATGAAATACATTGAGTACTGTTTGCCTACGGTACTCTTGGAATTCCCGGTTCGGTCTCACGCCTTTGACAGGCTTCTCACAGCGGGTTTGGAGCACTCTCTCATGTCATAGAAACTTTATCTAAAAGAAAGAAGAAGACAAAGAAGAAGAAGCAGGAAGAGCATAGGAAGAGGAGGAGGAGAACAAGAAGAAGAAGATGTAGAAATAGAAGGAGAAGAGGAAGGACAAGTTTTAAGAATCTATTTAAATTAGTACAACTCTATAAACGGGGTATTTTCGTTTGTTACCCTACCTTGGGAGAGAGAGAGAGAGAGAGAGAGAGAGAGAGAGAGAGAGAGATCATGTCTATGTGCCATGATATACGTCAACAAAGGAGTCGGTGGAGGTGACTGTGATGCTACTGTAACTGTTGTGAAAGCGAAAAAGCGAAGGTAAACACACAGTTGCAGAAAGTGAAAACAAAACTAAACGTGCGGTTTGTGGCATTTCACAGGAAACACGAACGAGCAACGCATGCGCAAAAGCAACGTTGACGTAGAAACAATCCGGATCGAAACGGTCGATCATTTGCACTGCATTGCTGAACTTTGTTTGAACTTGCTTTCGTACATCATGCATGATAGAGAGGCCTACTCTTAGACTCTAGTCTTTTTCTTCTTCTTAGTTTACGTAGTGTACAGTACAGTACAGCATCAGAATCAATCTGGGCGGAAGAAGGGTGCTGTACAATCACAGACAACCGAACCAAAAAGTTCTGCATGTTGAAAAGAAAATAAATCCAAGTCGGCAGGCTTCCGTCGTGTTGCCACCATGACTGATAAGTGGAAATCCCTCAATGACGTCAAATAAAACGGCTGTGTTACTAGATTTCTTGAGTAGGCCCGCATCACCGCGCTACTGTTTTGGTGCGCAACCCCCGGTCTCCTGCTTTGTTTTGGATAAGAACAGCGAAAACGAGGTCATTTTCTGTGAGCATGCGCAGAATGCAGCTTATTTCACTTTCGTTTTGGAGGTTCCTGTCAACACACGTGATTCTACGGTGTCGGAAAGTTTTGCCCCTTCATATTAATGGTTTTCGTAAGCGGTATCGATCAATTTACTAAGCGCTTGAGTAGTCGATTATTTAGCACATCTAGCTAATCTAGCTCTAATGTATCGTAGAATGTATACTAGAATCGATAAATACTATCGCAGGCTGCTTCTTAATGCCCAGGAACGTGCTAGATAGGGTTGCGCACTGAAGCGGACCAAATTTGGGCAGTCCGTTTCGTGCGCAATATCGGCTTTTTTGCTATTTGGCATTGATAGTGTGGCTTCTAGGCCCTTTGTTTGTTTTACTTATTAAGTTATTTCTCTATGACCTGCATTGTGCACTGAAACAGACTGTTTTCCTTCCATTTGGATGCATTATATTGCCATTGGAAGATGATAAGTTAATGTATTCATGTCAAAATTAATTAATATGGAAATATAATCTCCAAAATGTTCAATTTCTTCTTTTCATGTCTTTTTCTTCTTCTTTTTTGCCCTTTTCCTTAAAGAATACTAGTCTAGGTATAGTCTAATTCTTGTTTTCTTCTTTCACTTCCTTGTGTCCACAGCACCTTTCTTTTTCAATTTCTTCTTTTCATGTCTTTTTCTTCTTCTTTTTTGTCCTTTTCCTTCTAAAATACTAGTCTAGGTATAGTCTTCTTCTTGTTTTCTTCTTTCCCCTTCTTGTGTCCACAGCACCTTTCTTTTTATCCATTATCAAAACACATACACAAGGTGTAAGGAAATCTCCTGTCAGGGGGCGCACAGCTCCCAAAAAGAACACGGACCTTGGCTTTCCATTATGGTCAGTACAGGAACTTCTTGCAAGGAAAAGAAGACAAAGCAAGGATAGAGAAAGATGAAAAGTGTCAGAAAAGAGCTAGATCTAGATCTAGAGCTGTAAACATGGTACTATTGCGCACCCAACAAGACGATATGTTGCACCAAACCAGAAACCTTGCGCACCAAACCAGACACACGTTACCAAACAAACACCACCACAACATATAGAAATTTTAAACTGCTGTTACAGTGATGCACTTCACCGTATAGAGAGGAAGTTTTTCTAACTTCTGGTGAAAAAATCATGAAGATCGACCTGTATTGTAACTTCCAGAGATATCCACAAAAGATCGCTTACTGTATATCGCACCACAGGATGTACTCTAGATCTATTTTAAAAATATCGGCCAATGGCGTTTAGATTCTACATCTAGATCTAGATCTAGATCTAGATTTCTAGTTGTCGTTCTCTAGCTCCGCTTTCACACAAACTACAAACAACAACAACTTGAACAACACTAAAGTCTAACACTGATTAATTACACTTAGCCCTACACAACTCACAACTCGATAAGACAACAATGACATAATCTAGAAACCGGACCGCATATCTAGATTTCTAGAACGGCGTACAATATCTCAAAGCAAAAAAAGCTCAGTTAGTATTAACATTACCACTTGTGCGAGACAAATTGCACGCCACAGGCCTCACAAGTCGCCACAACCTGGATGCCATCATGTTATTCCCAGTCCCAAGCCTACAACTAAAGATTCTCAAGGGTAGACTTAGACTTGGAGACTTGGAGAGTGGAGAGCAGTCGCAGTCTCACCCGCTCTTTTGTGAGAGGAGGCACAAACGTCGATGGAACAAGCAACAGAAGCTATGACGTTTCTTGCATTTCCGGTGTAAACCAACATGCTGTGGGCAATACAAACTTCGAAGTGAAGAGAAGTCTGTTGATCTACGTTCGGTGTTTCGCATTATCCGCACCAATGGCTGATGTAAATCTAAGTGAAGCTGAAAAAACATTTATTCTCCACAGTGTCCAGGTAATGCTACATTTTCTGTCACTGCTAAATTAGCGGTCCTCTAGCCTGTAGACTTGTCTTAATAAAATCAGTGCATCTGCTTGCTTTTACTTTTGTACACACTATAACAACAAACAACACAAGAAGCCGGAGAGTTTGTTAGAGAACGTTACCGTTAGTGCAAGGGGGCTCTCGTGGCCTAGAGGTTTTAAGGTGTTGGCCTCTCATTCAAAGGTCCCAGGTTCGAATCTGTGTAGGGACCAAAAAATTTTCTTCTCTAAAATTGTCTCCTTTCACCTCCTCTAGCAATGTTCTGTCGTCTGCTTTCGTCTCCTCTTTCTGCCCCCAACCCCTCACCTCCTTTGCTCCCTCCTCTGGGCTCCTGACTCTTTCTGCAGTCTTTCTACTGCTACTCCTTGTTGCAATGCCCACCGAGCGCATTTTGTTCTGCCGATTTTTGGCCCCGCAGCGGGGGTGTTTCATGGGACGCACTAACGCAAAGGTTGTTGTCTTCAACTCGCTCTCACGCCGCTTCTCGTGAATGGATATGAATGAAACTTGGCAGCCAATCAGAAAAGAGGTCAATCTCGTAGTATGCAGTTTGACAACATTGTACCCATCCTAGAAGCAGTCGAAAACGTTTGCGAAAGTGGTTGATGTGGTGCGCTTTGAAGGTTTTTCGGAGCTGTGATTTGTCAAACTGACTTGATACGTTGTACACCATTTTTCTTTATTCCCTTAAAATTTCATGCTTCTGTGTTTAGCCGTTTTGGCGTAATCTTTAAAAATGTGGGAGTAACTAAGGAAAAAAGCGACATTGTCATTTGCGCGTGCTGGGTGAACGGCCGCCGGCGTGGAAATTTCCACTGAGTGACGTCATCAGCCATCGGTCGCCTCGGGCGCTACAAACGAGGCCCCGCTTATGTGAAATGGAAAGGGGGGGAAGGATACTTGAAAACTAAACGGGGGCCTTGATAACTTGCGTTTTTGTTGCATTTTAGTCACAATACAATAGATGTAGTCATTTTTATTTGCTTGATTGCATGACAGAAGAATAGAAACAGAAAAGCAAACATCTTGAGAAGTGGTATGGCATTGTGTTTGCGTTATGAAAGCCTATTCCCCCCTCTTGGGAAAGCACACACTTGGACTCGTCCTGTGTGCTCTGTTTGGGAAAAGTGAGGCATTAAGATTGTTATTAAAGAGTATGGTACTTATTTAGTCCAGTCTGGGAAGATAGTCCCGTTTATACATTGTTATCGTTCACGCGTGAGTGCGCGTGCGTGAGAGAGAGAGAGAGAGAAAGAAAGAGAGAGAGAGAGAGAAGGGGGGGGGTGTAAATATAAACATTTATTGTATGAGTTGTAGCCTACACATGCGAAATATTCCCATGACTTGTAAACTATATTATCTGAACGCATCTTAATCTACCACACAATAGGACACTGTCCAACTATGGATATACACAGAGACGATCTTATTTTCTATAACAAAGTATGCATGCTTTTACTAGTACAAAACTGGATTTATTAGTAGCTCTCTACTTACATTTTTGTGACAAATTGATCCAGAATATTGCTTGGCAAGGAAGAACCTTTTATGTTGCCAAGTTTCATTCAAATATCATGACTTTGGGAGAACATATGACTGATAATCTTTGTAAATCTGTAAAGAACGCCACTTTTTTACCTGTTAATGTCTTTACAACTCAAAAAGTATGACAGATATTAAAAATCTGACTGCATGACTAAATTCTGCATTAAAAAATGTACTAGACTGCCAAGTTTCATTTACATATTCCAAGAAATAGGCGAGCTATGACAAATATTGTCTCAAAACGCACCGAAAAAGGCCAACATTTTTACCTATAAACGTCTTCATAACTCAAAAAATAGGAAAGCTATGAAAAATCTGAAAGCAGGACTAGATTCTGCACTAGAAAATGTACTGGGTTGCCAAGTTTCTTTTAAATACTCAGAGAAATGAGCGAGTTATGACGAATATTGTCTCAAAACTCACCAAAGAACGTCCCATATTTTGGGGTTTTTTCATTATATAAAAGTGTACCAGAAATTAATTGATTAAAAAATCCGTAACTTTTTTGTTTATTGATGGATTTTAAAAATTCAAAAAGTTCTATGCTCAGTGAAGATAAAGCTACAAAATGCACCTATTTCACACACTTCACACATATTCTTGTCCCATATGCGCGCACACACCTGGCATACACACACACATACATACTAAACATTCAAGACTACAGATGTATATTACATAGTAACTTCCTTATTTTTATTTCCTCATACACTCAACAATTGATAATACAGTGCTCACCCCCCCACCCCCCACCCCTCCTTTTTAATACAAACACACTGTTATTTACCTTACATGAGATCAGTTTGCAGTACATTCTGGCTCCTCACTGACTTTAATTTGATATAACATTCCAACCTTGTTTTTTTTCTTCTAGACACCCCCCCCCCCCTTACTTGTTGACATCCAAGCTGCCTTTTTTATCTCCACACAGGATGAAAACTTTCTACCTCAGATGCTACATCAATAGTAACACGCTAACTACTCCAAAATACTGCTTCATCTATCTATTAATGAAGCCCAACCTTCAAGTTCCTTTCTTGTTATGTTATATGAAGCAACTGTAAGTTACTCAACTTTGTGGGTTTGGGGGGGGTTTTCTTTTCATCCAGGATAATTTTCGTGATGATGGGCGCAGTTGTGAAGACTTTCGACATATGGAAATTGAAACTGGACTGATATCAAACACCAATGGGTCTGCTCGAGTGAGGTTGGTAAGTGAACGAAATCAATCCAATGAAAGTTCCAGGAGAAAAACTTACATCTTTTGCTCGTGTGAGGGCATCATGTTTGATGTGATAAAGACACGAGTTAGGGATGTTTCTAACTGCATCTGCTGCCAAGATCTGTTCATAAATCTTTGCCTGTCCTGCAGTCTACTGTCAGCAAACACTTTTTGACTTCCCATTAACTTCTTTCATTGTAACTTCAAAGACTTCTTTGGTTTGGGGTTTGTTCGTTTTTTTCATAAATAATTGTGTTGTCTGAAATGATGCGTGGTTTTTTTAAGGTGGGGAAAAATGCTGACATGACAAAAATAGGGATAAAAATAGCATTTATAATTGCTGTTTTCCGTCACAATGAATGGTAGTGTTTGTGCTGTAATGGTCTGTCTTTTTAATCCTGTGGTGAAAATGAGTGCAAGGGAATTGTTCATATTCTGCGCTCTTTTGTGTAATCTCAGGTTTCTTCTGGAGCTGTATAGTTTGCTTTCAAGTCTTTCTATTTATTTCATGATAGATGTTGACTTCCATCATCAAGTATTGATTTTGGAGGAACAGATCAAATTGTGCCAAAAGTGGTAGTTGTTCTCTGTTTATAGTGGACAATCTGGCTGCTCACAGACATGAAACCTTGTCAAACAAGGATCTGACAAAACTTTTTGTAGTTCGCTCTGGGTATTACATTTGATCTCTGTTGAGGTTATTTCCCCGATATATTGAAAGGGGTGTTATAATAATTAAGCAACACCAATTGTGCAAACTCATTTGCCTTCTTTGTTTGTTTTCTTCACATGTTAACTTTCATGAAGTTGAAGATGAACTTCACTTTATTTTCTACTGTCCAAATTTTGCCCATCAAAGGAAATTGTTAATTCCTCCCGGCTTGGCTCAGCCCAGTGACAGAAATACGCAATGTTTGACCCATGATGCATGTCCTGTGCCTTTCCATTATATTATGGAAATTTTGTTTAACAAATAAGTTGTTCTGTATTACTTACTTACTTACTTACTTACTTACTTACTTACTTACTTACTTACTTACTTATTTACTTCTTCTCATGTTGTCAACCTTCCTCTATGATTCCCTAGGCAAGTACTGATGTTCTGGTCGGGGTAAAGGTGCAGCTGTCTCCAGTGGACCCCGAGAATCCTGAAGTGGGGAGGATGGAGTTCTTTTTGGACTGGTCAGATTATTTTGTTTTCTTACTGTTTACCTACTTGACACCAATAAGAATCCTATCTTTAGATTGACGGAAAATATGTTCTTTGGGAAAGTTTATTTGTGTGTAATGGGGGGTGGGGATTTAGGAATAATGTTTTAATATTACAGAGTTGAACAATAAGAAATATTGGAAACAATTTGATGCGATTGCTGACTGCCCATGATGTGTCTTATAACTTACATATATATAACAGTATCTAACTGAAGGCTTCTTTCCACCACCAGTGGATAAAAAGCTGTTCGCGTGTGGTAGCACAAGAAGTGAGTTTGATACCCATGTGGGGAAGTAGCTCACTGAGTGTCCCCGTCTTAATGCTGAGATTTAACCTCTCAAATAATCCAAGCTGACCTTGACGTGCTGGTGGTGTTTGAATTAAGGAAAGCACGTTGACACAATTATTATGGTCATATAATGCAGGGAAGAAGCAAGACAGACAGAAACAGCAGAGCAAAAGAAAAGAAGTTGAATCTACCAGTGGCCCCATCCAACCACCTGTACATGCAGTGAGAAAGCTCCCTGACTCTCTGGTTCCTCATCATCAATGCCTTTCAACCCTGGCAGGGTATAGGCCACATACAAGCTCCTTCCATTTATCTCTGTCCTGAGCCATCCTTCCAAGCTCGTTCCAAGTGAGCTTCATTTCTCTCATGTCCCTTTCCACGCATCTCCTCCATGTTTCCCGTGGCCTACCCCTGCCTCGTGCTCCTTGTGGGTTCCACTGCAGTGACTGTCTTGTGATGTTTCCGCCACGGCGCACCGGCAGTGGAATTTTAGTTGCCGCGGGGGGTTCCCCGCTGGGCGCCTTATCACGTCGGGGTCACGGGGGTCAGCTCCCTGTCGCCGCTCTGTCTGGGCCGACTTAATTTTTGGTACTTTTCAACGTACAATTTAAGGTGCATCCTTGTATTTATGGTAATTCTCATTTAGTGCACCCAAAGCACGCATTTCTGCTCTTGAGACTCAAAATAGAACGGACGTTGTAACTTGTCTGGTTATTTTGTTAGACGCGCTGGAGTCGGCAATGCTAAATTGTTATTTTTTTGGGACTAGCGTGAATGAAAAAAATCAATATTTAAAAAACGCATCGTCAAAATCTGTCGAACTTTTGGAATATAAACGACATAACATTAGTGCAGATACTCAGAAAAGATGGTATCCGCGCTTATAATAGAAGGCTGTAATTTTGCAATTTTATCCATCGGGCACACAATTCGCTACGAAGTAATTCCTCCAAATACAACTTTATGTGTCTAATATAATCATGAATATTCGCATATTTTCTCGAAAGTTTATAAAAGTTATCATGAAGTTTCTCAATGAAAAGTACAAATCGATTTTAGTGCTTACAGTGCTAGAATATATCTTCAACGTAGATCTAATACACGAACAGTATCTGTTACACTCCAGAAATTGCTTTCTTTTCTTAAAACGCTAAGTCTAGGTTTTGTAAGTTGACTGAATAATAGGGATGACTTCTCGTAATTGGGTTATAAGAATAATTTCTAGCTTTCCAGGGACACTGAATCAGCACCAGACTTTTCCAGCTTTTTTTACGTTTCTATGACCATTTGCAATAACTGACAATGTGACTGATTTCTTTACATTCATAATTGTGTCCGCGCATATTTCCTACACAAAAACTAAGAATGAATGTTTTAGCTGTCGTTATTTTTATTCCATACTAGAAGTTTATCTCTACCCATGTATTTACACGGTTTTGTGGTTTTTTAAATCGCTTATATTATATCTTTTTAGTTGTATGCAGGCTGCCACAGACACAGCATGATTCATGGACAAACGCAGAGTAACTTTCTCTTGTTTAATAGTAAAATAAGAGCTAACGCTGATCGTCTTTAGTTAAAATATGCAGATGTGCATCTTTCTTCTCTTATAACTTGACTATTACTACTACCGCAGATTTAAGATTTCTCATGGTAAAAGACATGATATTCGTAGTCAGTTTAACACAGAATTTGGAGAGATCTGTCGTGCCTTTTTTAAAATAACAATCATTTATTCATAACTTTGTAACTAAAATAGGACAAATTGGGTACTCTACAGACACTTGTCTAGAACAAAAACTAAGGCACAGAAACTAACCATTCTAACGCAGAATAAATCTCAAGACATTGAGCTTTTAGTACATTCGCGTAATGGTTTGCTGTGTGGGATGGGGAAGAAGTTATATCGTTTTAAACATAGTCAAAAATGCGAACTTCCCGACCGACACCGGCAAAGTCGCCTCAGGGCTCATTAACCCCGTGACCCCGAGCCGGGGAGCTCCAGCGGGCTGCTGAGTCACGCGAACTAAAAGTAACAGATTCGGGCGAAAAGTGCCGCCGTGCCGCTGGGTTTTCTTAAGTTGTGTCCCATCCATCGCCACTTTCTTAGTCCTATTTCTACTTCTATATCCTTTTGTCCTGTCCTTTCCCACAGTTCTTCATTTCTTATTCTGTCCTGCCACTTAATTCTTAGAATACTCCTCATACATCTGTTGATGAAAGTCTGGACTTTATTCAGTACTGTTTTCGTTGTCTTCCAAGTTTCGCAGCCATAGAGGAGCACAGACTTGACGTTTGGAGTTAAAGAGTCTCTCTGGTTCCTAAATGATTTAAATTATGTTAATATGATGAGCGTAAAGACTAACAACCATATTTACAACTAGCTGGGCCCCTTTTCGATGAAAGGATGATTGGTGCATTAACATCAGCTGAAAGTCATTGGCCTACTCTATAATTTACACTCTACTGGAATGGAGCAATAAATCTTGAGAGATGCTAAAAATTAGATGGTCTAGATCTATACTCTCGAAACAAAATGCGCCTCACAAAATATCATTTTCGGCACTTTCGCTGTGAAGGACAGCTATGCAGATTTGTTTCGTTTCTCAGTGGAATAGTCACAAAGGCCAAAGAATGATGGGAACTTTTTGTAAAATATGTTTTTCTAAATTCAGGAAATTAATAAATAAAAAATCGGGCTTCGTCATGGGGACCTAGATCTATCTATCTTTTTGCAGGTACTTGCCAACTTTCAACTCTGTAGCTGTCGTTATTTTTATGGGGAAAGTGTCAGATGTGTTTCCAAGTTGCCAAATATATAATTGCTCAGTCTCAGGCCAATTGATATCTTTGACAATGTGAACACCTCTCCTGTGTACAGAAGATATCTATACTACAGTGACATTTTGGCTGGATGTTTTCCTGCTGCTGGTTTATGTTTGCTTTTCTTCTATGTAGATGAAGCCGGGAATTTCAATTTTCTCACGTCATGTATTTGAAAGGGGCTACAAAGCATGCTGGTGGCAATTCAGCTGTGATGGATTTGTATTGCAAGCTATGATGCAAAAGTTTTCAAATGGCATTTCTATTTTCATTTGCCAAAACACTCCCTGTGTTTTATGAGGATGTGTGAATATATGTTAACCCTTTGAACCCTTTGCCTTGATGTGTCCCATCCTTGGGCTTCTCAAACGTAGTTCACCCCAGGTGCATGGGCCTAGCAGGATGATGAGAAGTACATCCGAGGCTGGTTTACTAGCCATATATGCATTCAAAGACTTATTGGTTTGACCTGGTTTACTAGCCATATATGCATTCAAGGAGTTATTGGTTTGACCTGGTTTACTAGTCATATATGCATTCAAGGAGTTATTGGTTTGACCTGGTTTACTAGTCATATATGCATTCAAGGAGTTATTGGTTTGACCTGGTTTACTAGTCATATATGCATTCAAGGAGTTATTGTTTTGACCTGGTTTACTAGTCATATATGCATTCAAGGAGTTATTGTTTTGACCTGGTTTACTAGTCATATATGCATTCAAGGAGTTATTGTTTTGACCTGGTTTACTAGTCATATGTGCATTCAAGGAGTTATTGGTTTGACCTGGAGAACCATAATTTTTTTGTTTATTGACCTGGAGAACCATAATTTTTTTTTTTTTTTAAATTATGATTTGTTTTCTTTCCCAATGCAGCTCAGCCAATGCTACTCCTGAATTTGAAGGCAGGGGAGGAGAAGAACTGGCCTCTGAGATCACAGCTCTCCTGACACGAGCCTATGGCTGTCCCAGCACTATGGACTACCCTTCCTTGTGTGTTCTTCCCGGGCAGCAGTGCTGGTTACTCTATGTGGACATCTTGGTCAGTGGTTCCCTTTCCCCTCTGTAGTATTGCAAATGTCAATGCAATATCAATTTTCAAGGAATATATATGAACAAGTTGAGACTAAGTTTTAGGGTTGGGGTTTGTTTTGTTTGCTGCATCTGTTCAACACAGAATTGATTGTAGAGTATGGATAAACGTTTCAGTATATTGATGTTTTGATATTTATATTGTGATGTATTTTTACAAAGTGAATGGGGGAAAAAATCATTTGTTGAGCTGATCCCTATTGCTGGTTCAGAGGTAGGGTTGTCAGAGAATTTGATAAAAGATAATACAAAAGAAAGCTTTTTAAAATGTTTACACTGCTGGATAATTAGTTGGCCTGCTCCTACTCCCCCCCCCCCTTTTCATGCAATATTTGTCTGTGACTGAGTTTTAGTTTAATTGTAAATGAGAGATCTGTAGATCTGTGCTCATTTAAATGATGACATTTTATTTTAGAATCTAGATCAAATTATAGTTTTCGACAATGTGATGTATCGCACAATCAAGGACGGATGAGAAGTTTCCTGAGAATAGGAAACTGCAACAAGTCAATTCAGTTCCAAATTTTGCTGTCACCATCATGAGGGGATAATGCTGCTTTTCACCCTAGGCACCAGGTACAAAAATTCCCCAGCACTGGTCATTATTATAGCCTAGGTGAATGAAAAGCATTAATCAGTATAGACAAGATAGCAAGTCCTGAAGGTAAACACCAGAGATTCAATCATTTTAAATGAGACATTAGAGAAGGGGGAATTATTTTCCTAACTGTAAGGGACAGAAGTTGATATCAGGGCAAGGTAGAGTTGGGTCAGACTACCTAATTTAGCATCTGGGAGTAACAAACAGTTTGCTGGAAATACTTGCAAATGAACGGATGGGTAGCAAACGGTCTACTTGTGAAGATTCATTCGCTGCGCCTTTGGTAGGTTAGAGATAGCAAACAGTTCATTTAGGGAGTGGGTGGATGGAGAGACTCCTTGTATTTGCACACTACTCCTGCTATTACGTCATGTACAACAAGCTTATGTCTTGTATAGAGATGCCTTCATGCACATGGGACACAGCATGTAATCCTCTCTACCCCCCTCACCCCCACCCCAAATTACCCCCGCATACTTTCCTCTCATCCACAGCTGCTTGAATGTGGTGGAAATTTGTTTGATGCGATGTCTCTTGCAGTGAAGGCAGCATTGTTCAATACCAAGTGAGTCATATGATATGATGGTCTTTGAGTTTCAAAATATGTCATGTGCTGATTATAAGAAATGCAAAAATTACTGAATTACTATATACAAACAAAATCTAACTAGATTTTTTTTTGGGGGGGGGGGCATGCCTTGCGCAGTGAAACTTGCATAATATAGTGAAGTTGTCATGCCTGACCTTCAAGTTTGTTGCATCCCAGTGTTCAAAATAAAAAAGCTGTTACATGGGTGACTTATTTTTATCGATTGCAATGTTAACCTAATTTGTTCACATCTTGTTATGGTGCTGGTTTTAAGGCAAAGAACCAATAATTCCCTAAGGTGCTTGCCTATATGAGTGGTTGCTGCCCTTGGTACAGCCCCTGAACAATGAGGTAAGGTAAGGTTCGTGCAAAATTTGTCTTTTTTTTTTTTTTCGGGTGAACCACACCAGAACCCAGAAGTGTTCTAACAGCACATCTCCAAGAACAGGTGTTCGTTGTCACTTCAGTTTACTCCTAGTTTGTTCCATGGCTGCTCTTATAATCTCCCTTGTCTATCGAAAAAGTTGCCAGGAAGTTGATGCAATGTTGTATTCATCACAAAACCCACTCTTTTCCCGCCTTTTCAGACTACATAAATTACAATCTGGTTCCTAACGAGAATAATTTTCTTATGTTTGCTACTTTAACGATCTATGGCTCTCTCGTCCTACAGTCTACAGAGTTTGTTGGGTCCAAGTTTCCGTTTCTATATATCTTTTGTTTGAATATTGGTATTTTGTTGATTTTTTTTTTTTTTTACAGAAAGTTGTCCTCGTTTTTTCTGAGTTTGAGTTCATTTATCCTAGTTTCACTGTATCACTCACTGTTCTTTAATTTTTCCTGTTGTATAGAGTGAAGGGTACCAGTGCCGTAAATATTTTCATGACCCTGGTAGTTTATTTTCCCCCATTTAATCCTCGGTTTGGCGGATGCTTTGTGTGGTTTGCTCCTTTCCTGTCAAATATTTGTCATATTTATCTCATCTCCTTTTTTGTGTTACTCTCTTGTAGCACTTTTAATTTTCGACACTTATATGATGACCTTATTGTGTTGCATGTGCTGTAAAACACTTACTAAAACAAACCAAAACCTATACAATTTTTGTTAGCTCCACACTGAAGTGGATACCAGCTATTAAATAAGAGATAACTGCACAACGGACCACCATCTTGTCTAGGAAGTTGTTCAACACCTTGAATTCCTTCAAGTGCTATGGGTACCATAACTGAGTAGACATGTTTTGCATATGTATTTAGTGCCTACATAAAGGTTACTTTAAATTTTTGTAGTACATCTTCACACAATGAGCACAATTTTTAATAGATTTGAATTTTCTCAATTTTTTTCTAACAGAGTCCCCAATGTCACCATGACTAAAGATGAGGGAGGGATAGAACTGGATGTTTCCGATGACCCCTACGACTTCAAGCGTCTTGATGTGACTGGAGCTCCACTGGTAGTCACTGTCAACAAGGTAATTCTTCATATCTACACATATGCAGGTCTGATATTTTTTTTTTTTAAGGGGATCCGCGGGTCTCGATCCCCTAGAAAATCGGGTATTTGCTATTTTTTAAAAATGGAACTTCGAGTATTTGGATATTCTTACAGAAAAATATGTCAAGAATCCGTTTGTGAAGGTCCCAAAACCTAAGGAGACCTCTAATATATATAAAAATGTATTTGAAAGCGGTAGGGGGGGGGCAAAAAAATGCAAACAAAACGTCAAGAAATGTTCAACTTTACCCCTTGACAACAACACTTTCCGTGGCTGCAAGGTAATCAAGTTTGGTATCGTTGGAAAGGCCGTGATAAGAGCTATTCGATTATTGCACTTTCGTTTTCGTACGGAACTACTCTGGGGACCCATTTAGGTATGTTTGAAGACCCCGTACCAAATACCGGTTGGCCACTTCCGTCACGTGACCGGACCGTGAATTTTCATTCGCCGAGCCGGTAGCAACGAAGGGGATTCCCCTCGCGGGCCATTGTTTACACTGCGTGCCGCAAGACAGAACGTGAACGTTTTCGCTGCATTTCAAACAGTTTTCTATCGTGTTGCCGATTTCAACGCTAATAAATCTTGTTTACAGGCTGAATAATTATTGTTATCATCTCCATTTGCAATTCTGTGTAGTATTTCGGCCCGACAAGGCCTACCGAACACATGCTCCTTCTTATTCGTCTTCTCTCGTCTGTCTATCTGATCGTGATTCGATTCGATGTCTTCTTCGTCTTACTCGTTTTGAGTGAGCTAATCAAGGATCTAAACTGTTGAGATTATACGTATAATACATAATAGCCTTCAGTACTTTCCATGATTATGTGGCTGGGGTATTCAAAGTATAGATCTACAGATCTTCGTTGCGCTCGATCGACAAAGTTATAGGAATCTAGATCTAGATCTAGGATACATTTGTTTTGATGGCTTCCCTAGCCTCTTCGGTTGTTCGCAGTGAACAAGTCTGTTTAGCGTAGATATAGCAATAGAAATCTCTAAGGCCTAGTGTTATTTAAAACAATTTGTTTACTTTATTATTATTGGGTTTTTAAAAAATCGGAGACCAGTGTTCCCAAAGCCAGTTAACCCCTTCAAGCAAGATTGAAAGAAGCGACTGCAGAAATATATAGATAGGATAAAACAAATTGAGAAAATATACAGATCTAGATCTAGATAGTATCATGTAGTGCCAGCTTACAGTGTGCCTTTCTTGGTTGCATAGGCTTAGATTCCGCCATTGCAAAACCAAAACACATGGGAAGAAAATGAAGGGGAGGTGGCAGCTTCTTTTTTTTGGCTCGACAAAGTCTCGACTCTTCTAATTCTAAGAAAGGCAGTCATCTGCCAAATCATTTAAAGATTTCTTAATGTGGAAAAGACTAACAACAAACTCAATTTACCTAAACAATTCAGTATGGCAACATTAACATATAAATTTAGACGGGCATGTCAGCATGCAAAATTTTTATTCGCGTTTTTCTCGGAATAACTTTTCTGCCAAATCTGCTGCACTATTTTGATTAGACCTCAGAAAGTTACAGTCAGAGTTGGTTGAAATTTTCACACAAGCCCTTGAATGTCCTATTACCTTACATAGATATTTTAGCTTCTTCTCCCATTTAAGAACAGAAACTGAAAGACAAATGAGAGTTTACGTTCTTGGGGCGGAGATTCAATTGTGAGAGGACAGTTGGGGGGGGGGGGGGGCATGGAATTGATGTAAAAACTTGTCAAAAAAGCTTTTTAAATAGCCTGTGCTGTGTAAACGTGATGTATGTTGCCGAATAATGTTGGATTTTAGTGAAAACCGAGATGTTTGTGATTGCACAATGTTTTGAAAACTTTGTTTGCGTTTTTCTCGAAATTGCATTTTCGGCTAACTGGTAACTTTATAGAAAGTGTATCTCAATAACTAACGGTCAGATTTCATTGAAATTTTCACACATTATTCCCAAGATAAGTGCCCTCCTCCTTACAAGAGCACTTTTCCTGAATATTGATTCTGTTTTGAGTTATTTGGCATTTTTGCGTTTCAGCATCGCCTAATATGGAATTCTGAACATTGGTCAAAGTGAGGGTAAAATTTGGAAAATGTATGATAGATATTTGAAATCTGATTCTATAAGGAGGAGAAGCAAGCAATATATAACATATATACCAAGTGTGAAGCTTCTATCTTTATTGGTTTTGTAGAAACACTGTTTATAAAACATAAAGAAATTTTGCTGAATCAGCGCCATTTTTTGCCGCCACAAGAACAAAAAAATAAAAAATGAATTTTTTATTTCACAAAACCTCTTTTTAAAAGTGTATGTATCCATTGATGCATACAAAGTGGCTACAAAATGGTTGGAACTGAGTTTTGGCATTTTCATTAGCCACCTCCCCTTAAGTAAGAGGAAAAGGCTGGTGGATGCACTTAGTCACTTAGTGAAGATGTGTTTGCCGGACTGGGACTTCATCAGTCGAAAATACAGACCAAAGACTACAAGAAGCATTCCCATACCTGCCTGGGTGAAGTGAGGAAAATTTGTGCACAGCACCTTTCCCACGGATGAATAGTTCGAACCCTCAACATTTCAGTTGCGAGTCCAACAGCCTAACCTCTAGACCATATGTCCTTTTCTTGTTTGTCATGTTACAAGCTTAGGAGGAGAGTATGAGTAGATCCATTCTGAAATCACTTGTAGGTAGCTTGGTGAAGTGAGTGGCAGGCGAATGGCTGATGTGGTCTGTAGCTTTTACTTGTCTTTTCTTTTTCTGTCTTTTGTTCCTGAATATTGTCTTCCCCTTAGTACCTACTGACACTATATATAACTACTGCTTTGCCAGTGTGTATTTGTGTTGATATGTCTATTCAAATATTTATGCTTTGTTTGCTTTCAGATTGGACACTTTCATGTCGTTGATGCTAGTGAAAAAGAAGAGGCTTGTAGTCTTGCTAGGTAAGCCATGTGATTCATTGCCTCTCAAGAGATCAGTTTTATGATGCAAGTTTTGCTCAAATTGAATCTGAAAACATTATCTAGAGCATATGGTTGACTTGACTCAACTTGAGTCTCTGTAGAAATTATGGCCTTCCTGCTACATGAAAATGGAATTTATCTTCCCACAAGCAGAGGGGATGTGGAAGGTGCTCTTGGCTAGCCTTTTCCTGCTCCAGTTAATGAGCTTTTCACAGCTGAATAACAGTGGCTTTGCTGTGACAGATACCACCATACCAATTTTTTATGCCCCCATTGACACAATTTAGATCATTTTAGGAGATGGGCTTCCGACCATGCCTGATTCATACTGTGAGGGATACTATATCCAAGAAAAAAGACCGAGATACCCGATAAAAAATTTCTTCCTGCTCGGAAATCGAACTTGGGTCTTTTGCATGCGACAGCAAAGTATCTAAATGCTACCCTACAGAAGCCAGTATTATTTTCTTTGCATATTTGTTATTTCATTTGTCTGCTGACTACCAAGATACTCATGTCAGGGTTCTCAACAGCTCTCCCAACCTTTGAGATATCTCACTGCGCTTATTGATATTCCTCATTATACAGAGTTGTAAAGGGCACGTAGAATGGATACATGCCATATAAATGATCTGTTGTTAAAGGCAATGAAGTAAGTAATTTAGAAATTATTAAATGTTTAGTGTAATAAAGTTAGCTTTCCTCTTAACTAGATTGTGTTTCTAGCAAAATTGTCTGGCAGCTAAACGTTGGTGTGTCTTAGATAAACTGTAGCTGTGCTGCTTTTCTTGTTGTTAAGCGCATGTCTGTGGACTTTAAAGAAAATATTGCCTTGCTTTGCGAAAGGGATGTTGAATGTCATGCTTGTATATACGTGAACACTCTCTTAGTTTTATACTTATTGTTTTTTAGCAAAGAGCTTGTCATTTGTTTCTAAAAATATTTCTCCCAGAATAATGTTGGGTGTAACGCAAACTGGAACTATTACTGCAATGAAGAAAGAAGGCTCTGGCAGCTTGGATGCTGATAGCATATCAGATATGATGGAGGTACGGTACAATTGACCTTTTGCTAGCACCAATACATGTACTTCATTTGTACTCTCATTTGTTGATCTCACGTCTCTTGATCTTTGTCATATAACACTGTGCATTCTTTAGATGTTTTGTTTTGTATGATGTCCCCTTGGGGCGGATCTTCAAAATACATTTGTCTTTTTATACCATGAAGATAACAGTAGGCCTACTGCTCTCAGCAAGTAGATTGAAAATAGCACCATGCATTCACGCACACTTATGTGCACTCACTCACACGTCCACACATGCTGAGAGCATCAAGCAGGGAAGAATACAGACATATTGTGTTTTTTTGGTTTCCCCACTGTTCCATTGTCATGCCCTTACATTTCAGGTATAATTTCAACAGACTAGTAGTCATGATAGAAAAAGTGAATAAACAGGGAACCTCATCCAGGTTAATTGTGTCAAGAATGTGTCAAAGAGTTGCCTGCTTCTGACTGCCCAACAGAGATATATACCATGTAAAATTTAGTCAAGAGAAGGGACACAAGCTCTGTACTGTGAAAAGTATAATTGAAGGAGCAATGGACAGGGGAGATCGCATAATTTGTTGTACACGTTTGGATCTTTCGGTCAATAAAACCATGTTATCGGTGATCTATGTCGCATGTATGGACAGGAATTGTATACCACTTTGCATCATTACTCAACTCAGACCATTTAGCTCTGCCGGTTAGTCAAATTTTTATTTGTGGGATCTCTCTTGTTATGATGACAAATAGAAATGAAAACATGTTTTTGGCTCAGTTTTCTCATACTGTGTCGGTTTAATTTAGAGAATTTGATGTTGTGTCTGATTCCCCTGTTGTTGTTTTTTCAGTCTGCAAAAAAAGTTGGAGTGCTGTTGAACAAAAGCTTGCTTAAGGCCCTTGGGGAAGAGGAAGAGCAAGGGACAGAAGCAGTAGGATTTCTGAGATAGTGAAGTGTGGAATTTCATCAGTGTGAATTAAGGATCTCTTCATTTCCTTTTCCATGGTGAAGACCAAGACAGAGTGAGCTGGCATCACACAGTGCAAGAAATTGGTCACCTGACTACCAGGGGACAGTTCTGCAAACTCACCACGTTTGTGCCAATAGTACTGTTTTTCCTCTCACTTTGAATTTACCTTCTTGGAAAGAGGATTGCGCCACATGTGACATCATTCAAAAGTTAGGTTTTTGCCCCCTCTGGATTTGGCCCCGTCTAGATTTATATATGGCAAGTGGCTGAGGCGTCTTCTTCTGTGTAATGAAGTAGGGAAGTAAAGTCATGAAGTCAGTATGGCCTTCAGGGTTAAGGGCTATCGGAATTTGCATTTCTGTTGGCAAAATATGAATGTTGCTGGTTTCCCCCCCCCCCGGACAGGACACAAGCTTGTCACTGGTGGTGCCCTCCACTAGAAGATGCTGGTGCACGATTTGCCCCTGAGTGGCTTGTGGAAAAGGTGAAAAGCATGCTTTTTGTTTAATTCTACCAGTCGGTGATAATGCAATGCTATGAGTATAAGTCAGGTTAGTTTTCGGTGTCAAAATGTTTGGATTTCTTTCTACTTGTTGGCCTTTCTGGTATGTTTTGGGTTGTTGTTGGGTTTTTTTCATCTGTACTCAGATCATTGTTTTGTAAGTTGTGCCTTGTAAAACTAATTAAAAAATTGGAGGCAATTCCCTCCCACTGCATTTAACCCTATCCGTACGCCCTGGGGTCATTTTGTACCCCCGGGGTTGTATTCTTCACATTTTAGAATACTTCTACTTCTAGTACAAAAATCTCTTTGAAACTTCCAGTATTTCTCAAAAGATCATTTTGACAGACTGCCATGCAAAGCGTACGGATCGGATTAACGAGTAAATTTCCTCTTTGGAAAGTGGTGGCAGAGAGTTCCCCACGTCGTATGGATACGATAGTAAAACACGACGTATGGATAAGGTTAAGAGAGGCGTCTGCTTTGACCACATTTATATTCTGGTCTAAAAACACATTTCTTTCAATCCCATTTTACTAGCTGTTTTATTCTTCTTTCAACAAGTGTCATCGCAGCCAGTGATTATCTTTTTGTGTATGTGTTCTTTGTCAGATTACGGTGTATATATATATATATATTTGTATTAGAAAGAACTTTTGTACGTCGAATGGTCCAGCATGCATGACAGATTAATCTCTGGCAGTATTACATACAGACATATCTCAAAGACAGCGAAAAATGACTTATGTCTGTATGCTGTACTGCCCGCGTAATTTAAACTTTATTTTATTTTGAAGCGCCTAGAGCCACAAGGAAGTTTGCACTAATGAAGTGATCTTTTTTATCATTATTTTGATTTTTTGTTGGGGGGGGGGGGGGGGGGGGGATTTTGTTTTGTTTTTAACTTGTTGACTGTCAACTGTTTCTGTCATCCCTGGCTGTGTGGGAAATCTAGGGTATTTTGAGACAGGCATGTCTTGACTTTCTTAGCCACCTGTACCCAGTAGTACACGGGTGAAAGAGGTCAATGATGTCTTGGTTGTTTGTTTTTGGGCTGATTTTATCTTCTGAAGAGACATTTGGTATTGGTTACAGTTTCAGTTTAATGTGACTGATTTCTATTCTGTTCTAATACAGCCTTTTGTCCAAGTTCTTTGAAAGTGGTGAAAGATTACGTGTGTAGGCCTACTTGTTCATGAGCCTTGTCAATGGGACTGTTCATATTGTTATTATGTTATGTTGTAAAAGAAATACAAAATAAACCAATCTGATACTTTGTTTTAAATTGCCTTGATTTTTCACTTTATTGCTTGACTGAGAAATGCCTCATACGTCTAAGTCTGAAGAGGACTCGCACAGTATCCGCCCCTCTCTTTTTTCTCTTTTCCTCTCTTCTAATGGTTTTTTTAACTCACTGGAGACGTTTCACACAGCATTTGCGAGCACCGATATCTTCCTGAGAGGCGGTTCACAAACCCCCTCACGCACAAGTTTCGCGTTTTTTCCTCGGTAAAGTATGCTCCCAAATGCTGCATGAACCATCATTTATCATGCAGCGGACCTTTGTTTTGTATCAAATGAAGTTTCACCAAAATCGTCTGAAAACTTTTTTAAAGTTATCGAGCCGGAAGAAAGTGTTGTCACACTGAGGCCCTACTGTCGTTTCTCTGACTGGTGTCTGTTCTTGCAACACTTTGTCTGTACGATGGCAGCGCATTTAGTGTTAGTAAGAGTTTTACGATACTTACAATACAATAAGGTCATATAAGTGCCGAAGATTAGGTGTTACAAGAGAGTAACAAACACAAAAAATAAGAAAAGATCGGAACAATAAATGTAATGTTTGATAGGAAAGAAGGAGCAAACCACACCTGAGCACCCGCCAACCACCCACTAGGCAGCATTTTTCAAGTGTTTGACGGCTTTGACAGTTCAGAAAATTCTGATTATGATATTTCAGACCTTGTGGATCCTGATTTCAATATAAATGAGCATCAAAGCACTGATTGTGATGGAAAATGTTCTAGGTCTTGACTAGGCCTTCAAATGCAAAATTCCGCTTTGCCTGGAGCCCTGTTTTTTACATCTTTCACTCTGAAGTGGATTACACAGCTAATGCATAAGGATTACCATTATATATATATCGATCACCCGCGTATTTATGGGTTTGAACTTTTTATTCATTTTGAAACGGATCCACGACGGGACGGCCAGGCCCAGTTCAAACACCCCCAAGTTACCGCAGTTTCCCCCTGTTAGCAGACATCTTGCAGTAAAGAGTTCACAGCTCGCGCCTGTGCGGAGCTCGTAACTAAGATAACAGATATTGGGCAAAATGTGACGCAGTGCATTGTATTGCCGCCCCCTCCCCCTCCTCCCCACCCCGTTATACTGCCAGCTTCAATTAACAACCACGTTTTGCCAACGTACAAAAAGGAATACCTGTATAAACATAGCATGTGTGCCTTTACATTGCTGTCTGCTATGACCTTATGCAGTTGCGAGCGTTGTAAAACCTTATTGAAACAAAAACACTATCGTCTGCCAACTGTCTGGGTTGTACCGTCCTTATTTCACTAAATGTAAATTTGTGGGTGGTTGGTGGGTGCTCTCCTTCTTCTTTTTTATGTTTCTTACTCTCTTGTAACACCTCTCATCAGCTGGCACTCATATGACCTTATGCAGTTGCGAGCGCCGTAAAACCTCTACTTAGACTAACTGAAAGTAAATCTGACCCACCATACCGCCAGAGGTACACACTGCACACAGTACCCACTGGTTGGCTGCTTGATAGTCTCTCTCCCACAAGAAAGAGAGAAAGAGAAAAGACTCGACTCTATAATACATTACATATTGTATATCACCAACAAAAAGACACTTTTCAAACACAGATCACAAAGCATAATCATTTCCCTTCTTTATGTTGGGCAGGTGGGGCTATTGAACAGAAGCACCTTGTTGAACTGCCAGCCCCGCTGTTCCACCAACTTCATGCTCGTCCCGAGGGTGGTGCTAAAAGTATATCAAGCACATAAACAGAATTAACCCCATGTGGGAACCCCATTGCAGACACTGACTACCAAGAGGAGGCCGTTGAAAATCTTCTCCTTCACTGCCAAAACCTGGCAGTTCTTCGACGCAGGCTCCTACACACACCTACAGACTTACAAAACCTGCTATACTCTGGCGTTGACCAGATGACAAGGACATGTGGCTACTTAAGGGAGGCATTGCGCTGCCAAGAGCGAAATGCTCGCAGTCGCAGCTAAAGGGATTTGAAAACACCAAGTATAACAAGATTTGATTGTAGTGAGATAAAAAATTTTGCTTTTGAGGTTTGTAACTTAAGAAAGCAACTTGAACAACACGAAGAATGATCACACTATTTTATTTGCTTAAAAATAAAAGGCATTTCTATGAGAACCCTATCCGTACGCCCTGGGGTCATTTCGTGTGTATTCTTCACATTTAGAATATTTCTAGTGCGAAGATCCCTTTGAAACGTTCAGTATTTCTCAAAAAAACATTTTGACAGACTGCTATGCAAAGCATATGGATTGAATTAACGAGTAAATTTCCTCTTTGGAAAGTGGTGGCACACAGTTCCTCACGTCGTATGGATACGACAATAGTAAATAAAACACGACGTACGGACAGGGTTAATCACTTAATGACTCAGAATTTCCTATTACCAGTATGTCAAAATATTGTGAGCACTTTCTATTTTTCAACAAAGTGGCCACCATTAACTATTTGTGTAACCTGTAAACCTCTACAGGCAGATGAGTGTGACTGTCATGCATTATGTTTTGTTATAATGTGTAAAAATTGTTGTCCGCTATACACAAAAACAATTCTGATTTCATTGAAAACAAAGGAAAAAAATTGTTTAGGAGCTTTTAAGTGACACAAGCCGAATAATTTTTTCAGTTAGCAAAAATAGGCACTCAATTCTCACACAATGAATAAATAAAACAAGAGCCTCTGAATTGTAAAACATCGGAACACTGACATCGGCAGTTTTTCACAAAGTAAAAAACACTTGCTGAAAGTAGTGGAAGTAAAGTGTTATCTCATTTTAACTATTTTGCCCAGTTGAAAAAAAAATCAAATGACAAAGTATTGATTAGTCTCATTTTCTCTCTTCTCAAAAGCAAATAAAAAAGGTATCGCATTCTATTCCAGAACAGAACAGACTTCACTCTCCTCTCAGGTGGTCGTGCGAAGCATTTTTGACAATTAATATTTTTAACTTTCTTCGTGAAGTTTTCATTATATGATTAAACTTTGCCAATACTCTTTGAATAGAATAGCTTGGTTGATATGGAAGAGCATGCTTAACACAAAACAGGATAGTGGTCCCACATTCTAATCAAATTATAGTTACATATTACATTATGTCATCAAAAGAAAATACACATAGTCATAGAGTGTTAATGGGGCAATTCCACACCCTGAAACCTTTAAAAAGGAAGAGCTTCATAAGAGAATCATATTAGATCTATGTTTGTGCTTTCAATGGGTCCCGTTAAGTTTTCTATTGCTACGTTTAACTCAATTTGATTCAATTTGTCCCTTTTCGTGAATTATAATCTATTCCGACCGTGCATATCTCCCCACAGAGTGAGTTTTGGAAAGAAAAAGAAAATGTATACAGTCGACTCCGTTTGTAACGAACTGCTTGAGTTGATCTTTGGTTACGTCGATATTTTACTCCAGTCCCAGAACCTCTTTTTCTTTACAGACCCCAACTGTTAAGTTGAACTTCGAATGAGTTGATCTTTTTTCACACCCCCTATAACATAACATCAACTCATTTGTAGTCGTCTGGAATTTTAGATTCGTAAAGCTGTAATATGTATATATTTATAATGCAAGTTAAAACTGAAGTAGATGATATTTTCCTTCTAGTACATGTAGTTTAAACCCTAAAGACACTTCTCATCATGCTCCGACTCCAACTCCAAAGCACAAAAGTATGGTGTGAAATTCCCTAACCTTCCTCATGGGTAAAATAAAGCAGGAAGGAATCTTTCCTCATGAGTAAAATCAAAGCAGAAAAGACATGGATGAAGTTGGGTAAACAAAGTATACAAAAGAAAAATGACGGTACAAATTAGATTTTTTAAAAACATAAGCAGTATTATAAGAACAATAATATACGATATATATATATGTTATTAGTATTAGCATAGGCAATCAAAATAAACAAGGAGACTTAATGGTGCTGGCGAGCTAAAGTTGCATCAAGAAATTAGATGTAAACAGTAAAAGGTACAAAACTGTCAATCATCTGTTCAGATGTAGGCCTACTAATCCTCAAGTTTTGAAAAAAATTGTTTATTGCAGCTTCTTTATCTCACATCAACTACATGTCTTCAAGAAATATTTTGTCGAACATCAAATTCTAAATGTTGAAAAAAAAAATACCTACATAATTTTGTTACAATTTTTTTAAAGAACGAAACAGGGATTTTTTCTCTTGAGAAAAAAAAATTTTGCTTTCTGGGCTTGACACATTTGAACAGCTTGCTGATGAAATGTGTTAATCTAGTAGTGTCAGTACGATGATGTCAAGACAGGAAAAAAACTGGCCAAAAAGTGCAGACAGTAGAGATTGCTTTTTCTCTTTGTGATTGTGCTTTTTCCCTTCACATTGTCAGCTTGTTTGATCTGCCCAACATACACACTGTAGGCCCTACTGTATTAAACTTTGCTCTGCACAAGAGGAGTGAGAAAGCCGAGTGCAAGTGACATCACGAGACACATTGTGTGCCATGTGGACAAAAAAAAAGTCCTAGGCCATAACCCATCAAAGGTCCCACAACAGATTTATTTATTGTTACCTTAGTCCTAGTCCTAGCGTCACTATACACAACATGTATGTAGTGTGTACACCTGTCAATGTTTGTAATAAACGTAGGTAAATAGTACATTGCCAATGCCTCTTTCTGGCCTGCAATTGATGCAAGTGCGTTCTCATGTTTTTAAGAGCTGTTTGTGAATAATTAGTCCACATAACCCTTGAAATTCTTTTCAATTTAGAAAAACTACTCCGCAGCATTTCAGCTAATTGGAAGTTTTCTTACAAAGTCCAAAAGAAGAAAGAAAGATTGGAGATTCTGATTCTTTCAGAACACCACTTTTTTCAGACTGTTTTCAGTTTAAGCAGCTCCATGGTAGGATAACAAACTTTGGACCTTTTTTGCAGTAAAACATATTAGATTCCATCTAAGATGCACATCAACTCTTAGTCACCGTCCACTGTAACATGGTGCTATCTGTCCCCAGGGTTTTATGCACCCTGCATAATTTAGCAAAATTAGATCATTTTTTGCATAATTTCTGATTATTTTCCTTTCTTATTCTTTGTTAAAATTAACAGAATCGCATAATTTCACATTTTTGGGCTCAGTTTGCATAATTTCAGATTTCTTTTTTGCATAAACCGTGGGGACAGGGCAATAGTCATGTCACATGATATGAAATAAGAGAGGCACAGGTCATTATTGCTTATCCATCACAACGATTTAAGCACACTGTATATATAACATCACTATTATCATCATAATCATCCAGCCCCCCCCCCCCCCCCTCCCAAAAAAGAAAAAAAAGTTGAACTGAACAACTCCAAAATATTTCCCATGAGCAATAACACTGTCACATAACCTTAGGGACAATCCAAATCACAAACCAAAACCACCTCAATACAAATTCTTGTACTACAGAAATATATCAGTATCAGGTAGAGTAAATCTGCTATCACTATCATAATCAACTAAAAAAATTGTTTCCAGAAAGTAAGCCAGTGCCATAACATCTGTTCTATTGACACCTCAATGACTGCCACCACAATGAGTGAATGGCTCATGCCACCAAGCAAACTCACCTCTCCCAGCCACTCACTGAGGTGCTAATACAGAACAAACATCTACTCCAGCAAAGTAATATATAACACTACATTATTATTTACAACAGTAAGACCTCTTACTCTTACTTACATTGTTCATTAGATGACAACGGCATAAATCCAACCTCAATATATATTCATTTACTCTTACTTAACTTACATTGTTCATTAGATGACAAAGGCATAAATTCAACCTCAATATATATTCATTTACTCTTACTTAACTTACATTGTTCATTAGATGACAAAGGCATAAATTCAACCTCATTATATTCATTTACATAAAACGTTTGCAAAAATAATTATCCGACATTAAAGTAAAAGCAACAACAAATGGAGCAAACTCTCATGGCAATCATAAACTTGAGGAGTAAAAGTACATCACAATACAAGCATTATATCATTTAAGAAAAAATTGTCCCATCAGAGAATTTACTCAAAGTTCATTGTCTATCTTATTATAGAAAACAGGGCCTAATAGTGACATTTCTCAATCATCAGTTTGGTGTCTGATCGTTGCAGGCTCTATTTGGGTGAGGAAACTCCATTCACTTTAAATGCCAGTTAAATTATCAAAACCAGCAATTTCACCTCATGCTGAATTATTTGTCCTATTAACTCTTTATCTCCGGCAAGCCGCTTCCAGCGGCTCACGATCGGAACCACTGTGCCGGTGAGTCGCCGCCAGCAGCTTGGGCACATTCCTTTACAACAAATCTGACGTCAAATTACTTTTCCGCAATAGCCGAAAACAGGTCTCTTTTACCGGGGGTTCATTCCTTAAAATAGATGAAGAACTATCAAAATACATTCACTTGTTTTGATTAAATAACGAATTTAGTGACGTACATGTCAATTTCAGATCTCATACCAATAGAGGGTCTCAGCATGGTGGGTTTACCCCCCCCCCCCCCCCCCCCCCCCCCCGGAGATAAAAGTCAAAGCACATTATTATTAGTCCACATATAGATATATATACAGTCAAACCTGTGTAAGACGGCCACCCATTGTCAAGGAGAAAAGTGGCCGTATAAGACAGGTGGCCGTCTTATGCAGGACTGATCAAGATAAAGAAATCAAACCATTCCCATTTGAGGCCCCAATCGAAAGTAGCCCCACTATGATATCTTTGTTGGTGTTGTTGTTGGTTTGTATTTCATTTTTAATTTTTATTTTGTCGCTGATTTTGCACAAGGGTGACAATAAAACGAAATGTATCAGACAAGGAAGACCGAGTGCCATGTTAAAACAAACACATGGGTCGCCACCACTCGGAGAACGAGCAACACTTCTGTAACAAGTTCATGTTGACGTCCTTTGTTACTTTGTTACTGACTGGGTAAACAGTGACCACTCATCTCACTTACGATTTATGTGTATGAGTTCTGGGCGGAGCTTACGGGTTATGAGTGATTACACACTTACTTCACCAGCAGCTGAAAATTGGTAGCTATTGTCAACAGTGGGAGGGGCCTACGCAACATGATCGGTTGGAGGGACTACCTAACAACAACGACAGGTGATTGAATTATGGCGGCTCGCCCACAACGCCAGGGGCCAGTGCACAAATTATGACAAAACGTAATGGAGTCACTAAGGTGACCGTCTTAGGTATTATTGCTTAGTATGATAGGGGTTGTGGGTTAAATTATGGTGGCCGCGGCTGCGTTGGACAGGTGCCCGTTTTACACAGTTAAATTATATAGAAAAAACGCAAGAGGGGAAATGGAAAGTGGCCGTTTGTACAGGTGGCCGTCTTATAGAGGTGGCCGTCAGGGCAGGTCCGACTGTATATATATATATATATATACTTGTATATATGTGTGACAGCGTGATGGTATCAGGCACTTGCCATTTTTTGGCACATTGAACATTGATCTAATCTTAAAGCCTGTTCATTCGTCTAGCTTTTGGTGAAAAAAATACCAATCTACCTTGAATAGAAGTCGATATATTTGTGATTAACGGACATAGGGGTCGTCTAGCATCAGAGACAAAATTCGCCAGAAAATGGCTGCAAAAGATTGGTGACACACAGCATATAGTGTTCTTGAAAATAGCAAATTTACACTTTGGTACTTTTAATCAAAGTTTTTTAGTAAAATCTGCACAGAAATACGTTTTTAACTCAACATAAAAGGTGTTTAGCCACAACAACAAAAAAATGCTAGTTTCTTTGAATTCATTATTTTGACGAACGCCTGATTTCACCAAGATGCTTCACATATATATTATAATATAATATATTAGATCATTATTAAACAGAAAAAGCCTGTTTAAATACAAGTCCTCGTTACTAATTTTGTGTTGCTATTTCCCCGTGAAAAAAAGAGGCACCCCAGGATGCTCTCCATTTAACAACAACTCATAAGTGGCAAGGAATGTTTTCTGCTAAACAGTAAAAAAAATATTTAATTTTAAAAAAAAACTTTCACCAAAAAAAGTACAAAATTAGTTAACATCAGCATATAGCTATACATGTACTAATACAATACATATAAGTATTTATGGTCATAAATATTTTATTATTAACCATCCAGACAGAGCCAGTCATGTTTTGTTAAAAACTATAACACATTTGACAGAAAGTAAATCAGTAACAATGCATTCATAACTTTTTATAACAAAACACATCACGAATCACACATGATTAACGAGGGATCGCCGGGAGGGCAATATTTATATTTCATTTGATTTTGATAGTCAAAGCATAAAACAAATAAACAACTGTGTTTATCTAACTGGACTATTGACACTGATTCAGCGTGTACCTAAGCATCATTATTAGAGGGTTGGATTCATCAGCATCAGCAGTGGTACCGGGAGACAGAATCAACTCTAAATCTCTTTTATTTTTCTATTTACTATTTGCTACTTCTCTGTAACTATTCAAGATACAAGGTTCAAATTTCACAAGCTAATGTAGAATTAGGCCAGCCACAACAAAGCTATAAAGGGTTTTGGGTCGTAGCCTCATTACTTTTTAAGTTTCTTTCTTTTTTCTTTTTGGAAGTTGGCAAATGTTGAATATTCATGAAAATGTAACCCTTCACTTTAACCCTTCATATCATATCAAGCAAATGACTAGAGCTTTGTTAATGGGCCTTTAGTTAGTCTACATCACAAGAAAAGTATCATTGTGTTTGCATTAGTAGTTTTATGAGAATTAGCACATTAAAAATTGTAAGCAACATTCAGTATAGCCGCCGTCACCATGGCAACCTTTGCTTTAATATTTGTCATATATAGCTGTTTTTTATTACAGCATCACACCATATCCACCATATAAATATGCAAAGTACAAGGGCTCATGTAGAAAAAGGTTCATAAAGGTGTTGATCCCTTTTAAAGCAAAGACTTACAAGGCAGATGCATGGCAAACAAAAATTCCATAGCACCACCTCTGTTTTCATTTCACAGTTAAAATGTTAGACACAAAACATAAAACTTGTCCAGGTCTCTAAGACCCATAAACCTGAAGCTATCCAGATTTCTATCCAATGTGAGAGGCAGTAGAGATGACCCAAGCTCACCCCCTCCACTGAGCCAGTCTATATAGCCCTTTAGACCATAAACCCTACAACCAAACAGCTAGGCTACAGAAGCTACATTTGTACCAAAATAAAGCAACAGCAAAGCGCAAATATCAAATCATTTTGAATAAGAATTTATAAAAGAACTGACAATATAAACCACTTGCAGTGCAAACAGTGACTTAACATTATATCAACATGATTGCTATGAATGGAGTGCATTTGTAGACATTATTATTTGTAATTTTATGAGAACTAAAATGGCTTTAAAAAATATGCCATAAAAGAGCAATAAATTTGACAGAGAAACTCCTCAGTATTCTGTAATTCTTTTCAAACTGAGGTATTACAAAATGATAAACTTACACAAATTAAAACAGAAGAACCATTTTGACCATGCTATACAATACACGGATGACATTTTGTTATTTTAAATTTTTAAAATATCATCAAAAGCAAAAAATCAAATCACATGATCCCATAAGTAGTACAGAGAAAGTGAATAGTAAATTTCAGAAAATTAAAACAATTCTTACTTAGCAATTATATACTTGCCATCATCAACTTGACATAACACTCATACATATAATTTTCAAAAACCACACATTGCAAGTGCAGCCTATAGCCTGCCTCCAGGGTCGTAGAGTTTTGTTTGACCCAAACATAATATTACGAATCTTAAACTTAAAGACAAAATCTTTTATGATCATAAAGGGTAGACATCTTGCAAATTGTTGGATGAAAACTCATACTCATAAAGACCTGAGCACATATTTTTCTGTACCCGGAAGTGCATGATTTTATATACCCGTACCACAAAATTACACCTGTTTCAAGACAGTCATAGCAGACTTTTCATACCAAAAGAGACAGATAGAAAAAAGCATCAAAAGTGTGCATGTGTGTGTGTGTGTGTGTGTGTGTGTGTGTTTGTGTGTGTGTTTGTGTGTGTGTGTGTGTGTCTGTGTGTGTGTGTGTGGGTGTTGGTATGAGCCTGCATGAGCATAATATGTGTTTCTGGGTGAGCATGAGTGTGCTTCCATTCATATAAAAAGCTTGACACACCAACACTGGTTACCATAGTGACTCAAACTAAACGATTAAACTTCAAAACTGTGATGTATTTCATGTCATGAAAAGCAAACGGCCTTTTAAAAGTGATAACATTTGACTAAATTACATCATCAATTATATAAATAAATAGCCAATATTCTATAGTAAACATTGCTCCATCACAATAAACATTAGTTTTACTAAAATTTACAGATGTGCTGGTCTAAGTTTGATGTCCCTTCATGATGATGCATAAGTTGACTTATTAGAGATGAGTAAAAGAGGAGAGGGGAAACACAGCCATCCGTGCGGACCAGTCCGACGGATCTCCAACCAGATCATGATGGAGACTATAAGTTAAGTAGCCAGACTCTGGGATGGATCCAGAAGAAGGGGAGGGAGAGCAGAGATGGACATGTTCCGACTGCAGTGACCCCAACACAGTGGACAAGTAAGACAAGTAAGATTCAAAGATTCAAAATGATTTATTGATTTGAAAGGCCTTTGGCCCATACATCCACATATTTTAACATATGGTTCGGCAATTACATACATTGGTGCAGCACATTGGATGTTTAACATAAATTGGACATGCACGCCCTCATACACGTATGCACGCACGCACGCACGCACGCACGCACGCACACACACACGCACGTGACGCACGCACCTACACTCATACACACTCCTGCTCACACACATACTTACATACATACATACATACATACATACATACATACATACATACATACATACATACATTCATACATACATACATACATACATACATACATTCATATGATCAAATAGAAATAGAACTTCCACACAGTGCTATGAATGAGGCAGCGAGAGAAATCGGGACATGTTTCACTCTGAGAAGTGAATACCATTGTCTTTTTCATACACATATACATATAAAATAGTACCCATTACAGTAGATACAGAGTTACATATATGCGAGTGAATACCTTTTCCCTAGGACAGACGTGTCCGTATAACAACATAATTTAGGAATGAGATTATCTTTTTAGAATGGACTTCATCTGAACAGACTAATATGCCATTGAGCTTAGACATTGGCTCTTCGGGAGTCTGAAGTCTGACGCACTCTGGTAAAAGCTGCTCTCGTATTTCATTATATCGTGAACATCTGAACAATACATGGAATTCATTTTCTACATACTTTTCATCACACTGGAGGCAACGATTACTGTCGACAATACCCAACCGGAACAGATTATTTTTCAACGACAAACTGAAAGTTCTGAGTAATGCAAGGATCCTTCTACCTCTTGCAGAGATGGTGAATGAGAGGTACGGTGCAGGGCTTAACGTAGGGTGGAAGTCCAGGTACTCAGGATAAACGCCAGACACCCTAGAACGCCAGTCCTGGTGACTAATATTTATAAGTCTTTCCTTTACTTGAGATAGGAAAATATTCTTATCACCAACATTTTGAAAAAACCACGCATATCCAAACCCTATTGTACATAAAAGTTTCCTCATGTCAGTGGCCCAGCTGTACCGATTATTTTGGTCATGTGCATACGCTTGCAAATAGCATTTCTTAGCATACCTATTATTATCCATTACCAGTAATTTATACCAATATTTTATTGCTCGTAGATGATAAGTGGCATACAAATGATGACGTCCACATTCCCCCATTGCCAAAATGTTTGCGGACGTTCTACCAATGTTTAGGACGGCCTTGCAGAATTTAACGTGCACCTGCTCTATTTTATCATACTTCTTCACCCCCCATACTTCACAACCGTACAAAAGTAATGGCTTAATTTTGATGTCAAAAATGTTGAACAAAGTTTGGACATTCAGGTGCTCATATCTTTTACTTAGACATCTCACTCTGGACGTGAGCCTTGTTGCTTTACAACATAAGTTTTCTATACATTTTGACCATAACAAGCGGGAAGAAAATATCACTCCTAGGTAGCTTATGTACGTGGTTACGTTTATGCTTTTCTTTTTGTAAAACCATTTTTCAGAGCTCTTTAGCACGCCTCCATTTCTAAAAACTATCATCTTTGTCTTTTCCAAATTTACAGACAGTCCCCACTGGTTACAATACTTCTCCAAACAATTGATCTTCCTTTGCATGTCTACAATATTATCTGAAAATAAGCACATGTCATCTGCGTACATTAAATTGCGGGTTTGTTCATCATTGCTTAATAGCTCAACTCCTTTAACATCACTGTTTTTCAACATCAATTCAAATTCAGAAACATACATATTGAACAAAAGTGGGCTAAGAATACATCCTTGACGAACACCAGACAAGCAATTAAAATATTCCGTAATTTCATGCTGGCCAGTACGGACAGAGCACATAACTTCCGAGTACATACTTTGTAGTAATGTTAACATTTTCCCTCTCAAGCCTCTTTTCCTCAAGACTGCCCACAGTTTTTCATGGACAAGTAAGTAAGTAAGTAAGTAAGTAAGTTAGTAAGTAAGTAAAAGAAGAAAAAAAGGCACTCGGTTGCTGGAGGTGCAAACAAAGAACTAATGACCATCTTTTTATTGCAGCATGGTCTACAACAATAATGCGTCACGACATGGTGGAATCAGGCGCTTGTCAATTTTTGGGCATGTGGAGTTATTGGTATCATCTTAAAACCTGTTCATTTGCCTAGCTTTTGGTGAAAAAAATATCCATTTATGTAGAATAGAAGTCGAGATATTTGCGACTGAAGGAGGTGGGGTCACCTGGTTTCAGAGGCAAAATTAGTGAGAAAATGGCCACCAAAGATGAGTTATTTCCTTAGCTTGAGAGTCTGTGGAAACTGAAAATTAAATTTTGTTGTGCCTTTAAACAACGTTTTTCAGTAAAATCCACACAGAAATGTTTTCTTTAATTGGCATGAAAGGTGTTGAGCCAAAAAACGAAAATTCGATAAAAATTCAGAAATCTGTGGGAAAATGCCAGTTTCTTCACTTTGATTATTTTGACAAGGGCCTGATTTCACCACGCTGCCTCACATATGATAATCAAGTAACTGCCCTATGGTTTCTATGGTGCTTGTTGGCACCAGTATCAAAAGCACAACACCCAGCTACCCTGAACAACAAAAACAAGAGAATGTTGACATGAACTTTGTGATGTCATTTATGTCACAACAATGCAATGAATTTTCTCTTTTTTTAACAAATAGGTCTACATGATACAGCTAAAAGTTTGATGCCAAAGTCACCACAATTCTTGTCTGAATTCCATCTCTTTCCCTCTGGAATAAGGGTTAATAGTAGTATACGAGTTAGGTAACAGCTGGTCTTTGTTTTCATGATGAATGAGGGTATTGACTATAATGGCTCTAACATTTATCAACAGCAAATGGTATACCAACTATTAATATGTTGTCAAAGAAAAATATGACATTTCAATATTTGAAAAAATTGCAGAAAGACATGGACTCACACTGCAATACATAAATGTACTCAAAGAAAAACACCATATTTTAACATTAATACAAGCATATATAGAGAGACAAAATTGACTATAATACATGGATGTTTTAAAAAATACACCTGATTTCATCATGAAAAGAGCAAGACGTGAACTCACACTATATGACATCGATGTTTAAAAAAAATAAATAACACCAAATTTCAGTTTATATATATGCATTAAAAAAAGAGCATATAAAGACATGAACTCACACTATAAGACATGGATTTTTTTTAAAAACCAACAAAAACACCAGATTTCAAACATGAATTTTTTTTAAAGAGCAAAAAGACATGAATCACTTTAAAAGACATGGATAAAAAAATAAAAACAAAAGCCACCAGATTTCAATACACTTAAAAAAGAGCATAAAAACAAAAACTCACACTCTGACCATAGGGCTAAAACATTCTCAGTGTACTTGTGATCACAGCACAACCAGCTCGACTTGAGCGCAAGTAATTTTTTCACGCGTTACTCTTTGGGCAGACACCCTCAGAGCTCACTGGAAGTCCCTCCAACAGGCCACTCGCCTTGCTGCAGACAGACGTCTGTATCTCCCCGTGTCACCCACCATTACAAGCAGAAGAAGAAAGTAAGTAAAGTATGTACTCTCAGGGCCACAACTCGAAGTTGGAGGTGAGAAAAGCCATGAGACACCAGTTCAGCTGCTGTCTTTCCTTGCAACAATTGTGCTTAAGTCCTGAAAGACAAAGAAAGTTTAAAGATAAGCTCATTAAAACTTTTGCTCCAGACACTAAGCCGAGAGGTTTAATCGTTTCAACATAGAAAAGGACTTTAAATGGTCAATTTCAACTAAAGATAAGTGGACAAAGTAGCATAATCACTGCTTACAGAGAAAATGGGTACTTTTTAGGTTAAGAGTTTTCAAGTCATAGAAAAAATATACACAGCACTCTTGCACTTCTTTTTATTTCTTGTACTGTGTCCCAAATCTGGTTGCAGAATTTTGTCAATTAAGTAAATTTTGTCATTATTCCCTCTTGCACACCTCTTTGCCACATCTGCATATTAGCAAGGCTATCTATCTATTATTTTAAAACAAATCAAGACGGCAACATCTAAGGCTCAGTTGCCACATCCATATCCCTTACCGATACTGTATATACTGCAAGTTTTATTGAACTTTTTTCACACTATGCAGACTTCTAAACAAGGTCAGGTCCTTCCAAATATATGAATATCATCTTAAAAATACAGTCAAACCTGTATAAAACGGCCACCAATTGTCATGGAGAAAAGTGGCCACATAACACAGGTAGGCACCTTAGGCAGGACTGATCAAGATGAAAAAAGCAAATCATTCTCTTCTGAGGTCCAAACCGGGGCTGATTTCAGGATTAGGACTGCCGTAAGGCAAATTCAAAAGGGTTTTACGTTTTCTTTCCAAAAAAAAAAAAGGGGGGGGGAGTGGTGTAAGAAGGATTTTGTGCTGTTGTTTTGTTGGTTTGTTTTTTGGTTAGCTTTCTTTTTGTTGCTGATTTTGTGCAAGGGCAAAATAAACGAAAAATTATGTCAGTGAGATGATGAAGACCTTTACTTTGTTACAGATTAGGTAAAACAGTGACCAGTCGCCTCACATATGATTTGAGCATGAGTTGTGGGTGGGCTTATTTTATAGGTTATGACGGATCACACTTCCTTTACCAGCATTTGAAAATTTATTGTTAGGCCTACCCATTGCTCAACTTGAGTAAACATTCATTGGGTGGACAAACAATAACGATAGGTGAATGAATTATGATGGCCTGTCCATAGCGTGTGCGACTGATTCAAAATTTATGACAAAGCATCAGGCAATGAGTGACCACGTCTGGCCGCCTGAGGCAGGTAAATTTGACCGCGGGTTGATAAAATAAGGTGGCCGCGGATGCGTTGGAAAAGTGACCATTTTACACGGTTAAGTTACATAGAAAAAACACAACAGGGGAAATGGAAAGTGGCCATTTGTACAGATGGTCGTATTATACAGGTGGCCGTCAAGGCAGGTTTGACTGTATACTATTTCATTTTCCCCTTTGCCATATCCTACAGCCTTTACTGTCTAATCCCCCTTTATCAGATCCCTTAGAGAATCATACTCCTATCTGAATATATATATATATATCCTACAAAGTCAAAGACATTGTAGTGAGTAAGCATAAAGGAACAATGTTTGCCACTCATGCCAAAGTACAAATAAATACTATTCCCTGTTCAGGCAAATATGGTAAAACAGGGGAAGTTCTTTTTGAAATTTATCACACTCCTAACCCAAGGATAAATAAACCATATTTCAAGATCAACCTATACATCAAACTCAAGAAACTCTTCTTACTTTTGACAGTTAGGATATCATTAAACAGAAAAATGTGACTATATGAAAAAAAGAGAGACATCAGACCCCTGAGGTGAAAAGATTATAATTCTACAGTTATTGTACTGTGCGTAACAGAATTATTTGTCAGCAACCTACCCCTGAGAACAAGCATAGAAACTCAAAAGACTGTTTAAGAAGATGAGGAATGACTAATTGAGTAGTTGTTAAGGTGAAATATAAAAACCACATTGCGACAAAGAACTGATAAGAACTGTGACCCTGAAAAGAAGTAGATAGAGCAGAACATCTCCAATCCACAAACTGAAGAAGAGAAGATAGAGAAACACTGGAGAAAGAGGGGAAAAATGAAAAATAAAAACGGAATATTGTTAGCAGTACTCACTTCCAAGTCAGGACTGTTAAGGACTTTTTCCACGATGCAGACTTCATCCTTGGCTTGTTCAATGTACTGCCTGTAGCCTTTGTATGCTGGAGCTTTCTCTAAGAGACTGAACATTTCCTTAACTGTTGCTTGAAATTTTATTTTTCCTTCTCTGTTCAATTTGGTTTTACCAAAGCTAATTATCAAATTCTTATTTTGAGATTTCAGGTCATCAGGAACAGAGACTTCCATTTCCTGTACAAACATTTTCAAGGCCAACAACTGTTCAATAAAAAGAAGTCGCCACAACTCAAGCTCCAGTTCACTCTTCAATTGGCCTGTCATGTTACTTATTGCTCGAATGGCAGTTTTCCATTTTCCAAAATGTACCACCTTGGAAGAATTGAAACTTTCATGGAACTTTATGATCCTCTGCAACACGTATGCGGCCCGAATTTGTAAAGTCAAGGTGTGAGCATGATTGACATCAATTTGCTCCGGTTTCGAAGATAAAAACTCTCCCTCATCCACCTTACAAAAGTCCTCAACAAGTGCTTTTGACTGCCACATTTTCCTTATTTTGTCATTTGAAATTTTCATAGAGTCAATCAGTGCCTTTTTGAGGTTCTCTCGTCTTTCTGTTCTAGCTTTGTTTCGAGCATCATAGCGCCAAATGCCATGGAGGGTGGTTCGACACACAGGACATCGAATGAAACTAGTGCCAGTTGGATCAAAGTTTTCAACATGGTGGTCTAGCTGTCGGCTTGTAAAGACATGGTTACACCTGGGAACTTTCATAAGGACAACACCATCCTCCTGTATTATCTTAGCAGCCATTTCTTTTCTGTGATGAGCTACTTCATACTTTGGTTTTCTCCTGCTTGAAGTGTCAAGAAGATAGAACATGTCCTTTTCACACAAACGACAAACACATTCTTCTCCACACCATGACGCACACCTGTGCTGACAATTAGGAACTAGCTTTTTGCACAGTTTGTTGCAAGGAGTCTTCTTTTTGCACTCCTCATGGCAATGCTTATCACAGGGTTCATGTTTACAAGACAAGAAACAATTCTCCATGCATGGATCACACAGTTCTCCACAGGTAACTTTGCTACACCCCCCATGCCGGCATGAGTTCAGGCAGCGTGATGAACATGGAGGACATTTCATTCCACATTTTCCTTTGCACGGATGTCCACAAAGAAGAAGTTTCTTGCATTCACTGTCGCAAGCTCTGTGAACACGTCCTCCCAAGCACCCACCACAAGTACCTTTGCATCTGTGTCCACAAATCAGCTTCTCGCCACACTTTGCGGGACACGGATCCTCCAGTACATCTATGTGACATTCTGCTATGCTCTTGTGTTTACATGGCCACTCTTTTTCAACCTTTTCATTACAAGGGAGGTGTCCATCTATAAAACACTGTCCACAGCTTCCTCGACAAGGGTGCCCACATTCAAGCTGAATGTCACAACTCCGGGAGCAAACAGCTGTTTCAACATCCATGTGGCAAGGTACATAGTCATCATGCCCACAAAGCGGTATTGTCTTTAGAACTCGGAACTCACAGTTTCCACAGTCCTCATTGCAGTTCTTCTCACACAGATGGCCTTGAGGGCAAGTCCTCCGACAAGGTTGGAAGCACAGTGTACCAGAATGGTATCTATCACTGGCATGACACATTCGATCACACACGTGACCACAAGGTAACTCAAATTCACATTTCCTGTTGCAGCCGCCTTCTGGTACATCCTTCTCAAAATCCCCAGCAGTTGTTACATATGTTATATGTTGCTTGTGATTCACACAGTACAGTGGCAAAAAAGGGCCTGTCATCCCTTTAAGTTCAGCTTCAGACATGATGTTCCTCCAAAGGTCACTGCTTGATTTAAGCGATGCAAAATTGCCAATAGCATAGAGACCTTTCTTCGCTCTTGACAGAGCCACGCACACTCTGTTGCTGATTTTCAGGAAACCCACCTTGCTTTCTCTGTTACTTCTCACAAGAGAAAGAAGTATAATATCATTTTCCTCTCCTTGGTAGTTGTCAATTGACGTTACATACACATCTGAAGAAATCCCTAAAGTAAGTTCCATGGTATCCCTTATAAGCTGAACTTGTCCACCATATGCAGCTAAAATTGTGATCTGGCTCGCAAGGTAGCCATGTTTGAGAATGTAGTCACAAAGCGCAGTCAGGAATTCTGCTTCATGCTGATTGGCTTTGCTGTGCGTATCTTCAACTTCTCTTTCTTCATCAGCATGGTGAATGAAGAAAATATTAGATTTGATTCCCTCAATAGAATCATAGCAAAGTACAGATTCATGATCGCTTAGCCCTGGATATATATAGCGCATGAAGGATGAAATTTCAGGGCGCATTCTGTGTTGCTCATCTAATAACACATGGGGCACTTCATTTTTAACCATCCGTTCAAAAAGAGAGACTTCCAGGTTGAAACGAACAGCAAGGCGATGAACAGTTGGATTCGGACGTAACTGTTGGTGATCTCCAATCAAAATCAAATGCTCACACTTCTCATTGAGAGTTGTGACAACGTGCGCCTCGAGCACTTCTGCAGCTTCCTCAATCACAATGATAGGACACCCAACCTCTTGCAGGACCTTCCGATTCTTAGCTGCCCCAGTAGTTGTCATGCCTATAACTCGAGCTTTTCTCAAAATCTCCACATCTTTGAGAATTTTGGCTTCCCTTTTCCGCTGCAATAACATGTTGTACTCCTTAGTCATTGCCAATATACTCCCTAGAAGCTTTTGTCTCTTAAAGTTGACCCAATATTTATACAAACTATATCGATCGGGGAGGGGCATGTTCCAGACATCAGTGATCTGTGAGACCTCTACCTCTGAAATATCTGTGGCACCTTGGTAAAGCTGAAAGACTTTGCTGTATGACATGGTATTTGTCATTTTCCACTCATTTTCTTCTTCATCTGGATGTTCTGTTACGTCCATTCCTAGCATTTTTGCTCTCTGCAACAATAATATGTCTCTACTTTCTGACTCCTTAAACAATTGTTCAAGTTCTTTAAATTTCAACCTTTCCAAATTCCCACCCTCATCAATGTCTTCAAGACCTGTTGTGTATAAGTTGATCTCATCAGCATCATCATCATCATCATCACTGTCATCACTATCCCCAATTGTCCACCGTGATTGTGCATGTGACTCTTCATCCTCAGAAATTTTGTTGGTATCACTGGTCTTGACAGGGTTGAGACTTTCTATGGCATCTAAAAGTTGATCAGTCCTCTTCAAAACACCAAGCATCCACTGTTGTACAATCCTTTCATCATCCTCAATTACATTATTTTCTGCTTTCACGCAAGCCTTTATGGATTCAAGGACACCTTCATTGGACATATACTTTATTAGTACGTTATCTGGGAGTATACCACTGCTGGCCTCACCAAAATTGTCTAGAAGACTGTAAAATTGATCAGAATTTTCCTCATGCTCCATATTTTCAGCCTCCAAGGCTTGTTTGTATTTGGCCAGCCAGCCATGATATATTTTGAACCGATCCAAAACTCCTGTTTTCAAAGCAATTTTCTTACTGATAAGCTTGGAATCGTCTGCTGGTACAGGACATTTCTGGCTGGCAATTGCCTTGGCAAGGTGGCGTTTAGCTACTTTCCTCAAATGATTCTCCATATTTGCGCTTGCTGCCTTGAGCCACTGACTTAACGCATGAGTGTTACTCTCCGTAAGCCTCTGAGGGTTATTCAGAGACTCGAAATGGACGGAACTCATTTCTTCCTGCAGGTCTGTACCAGTAAGAATGGTCGTTTCAGTGCGTAGCAACTCTTGCCAGGATCGTTTCAGCAGACGACTGATCTTTTTTAACTTTTCAGAACAGGACCTCAATAGTCTTCCTACATGACCTTTAGTGCTTTTGTTGATCTCAGTTTTTCCTCTAAGTTCTTTCAGGTTAAATTCTGCCAACGTTTCACTGTGACTCCTGCCACCAATTCTCACAATTCCACTTGGACAGAAATCAAGGACACCCTCTAAAAACTGATCTAGAGCATGATTTGTATAGCAAACAACAAGAATTGGCCCTTTGCTCTCCAAGGACTCACTCAACTTTTGACTGGCCAAGAGTACATTCATGATTTTCAAACCAACAAAAGTCTTTCCTGTTCCAGGAGGACCCTGAATGACAGCCATTTCTCTGGTCAAGGCTATTTCTAATGCCTCCAATTGAGATTCATTTAGCTCTGAGTCATCAGCAAAAGTCAAGAGTCTCCTAATCTGTAAAGGTGAAACAAGAAATTCTCGATGTGGTGCAGGAAATAAGCAACCTAGGTCATACTGTTGGTCTGGTAGAAAGTACTCTGGAGGGTCAACATCTTGAGAGCAAAACAGGATATACCTCTCCAATGGGAGCTGATTCATTTCCTGAAGACCCTCAAGGACATGCCTATATGACATGAAGTAGGCAGTTGTTTCGCCTATGACATACGCATCTTGCTCAGATGAAGTAAACACCTCTTCCAAGTTATTTTGGAAGATAACCTCCAAGATACCTTGCGCCACTCTGTCTCTCCCAGCAACAGTTGCAAAGATTGTTGTTTGAAAATCGTCCTTGGAAAAGCACAAAAGAGATCCGAACAGTAGCCTTTTGGACTGTTCCCAATTAAAATCCTCATCCTTGCCTTCAAAGCGTCTGAAAGAGACATAATGAGTTATACCTTCATTTGAATTATAGCCCATATCCACGAGCTGAACATCGTAGTAAAAACGAAGATCATTTTCTTTCACCTTGCCCAGTGCATGATTGGACTTGTATTCTTGCAAACCTAGTCTTACAGGTTCCAAGTAATCCTCTTTCAAAAGTCTAGCATGAACATCTAAATAGTGCCTTAAGTCACGGTATGGTCCTGAGGTCTTGTTTGCCCTCAGAAAGGGTTCAGCTGTACACTCCAATTCATCTGTGTCTGGAAACAATCTAAGCTCTCTGTAGTCATCAGGTGGTTGAGCTTCATCAGGGTAGGGCAATAATTTTGAAAGTTTGGATTGAGGAACCAGATACTGTGGTTCAACAGCTATTGCTGACAGCTGAAAGAATTTCTCAGCTCTCAAAGTCAATGTCTCCCTTTCACGCAATACATTCAATTGCTTCCCAGCATCCAACATTAGTTGCAGAAGTCTGTTGCATTTGGTTTTGTATTCTGGTAGGAATTGTAAGACGAAGTCAATAATGTCCAAAAGTTTGCTGAAATATCCATATGCATGACCACTGGTGACTCTTTCGCCAATGCTATTGACAAATTTTTTCAGGTGCACATCAAAAAAGCGAGACTCACACACACTTTTCAAAATATAGTACTTTGAGCTTGACTGAGATGGCGAATATAAAATATTCTTTAAGATAGCAATAAGAAACGCCATCCAATCATGCCTTATTTCTGTTTTTTGAAGAAGAGTGCACAAACCTCCAAGATTGTTTGAGATGTCAAGCACCAAAATAGAACTGTTGTCACAGTCAGCCCATTGTTGTAATTTTTTGTAACCAACAAAGCAAGGAGTAGAAGGACCTCTTTGGCGACCCCGTGAGCCATCGTATTTCTTCTCATCTGTAACAGGTGGACGACTGTCAAAACCAAAATTTGAACCATCCTTTCTTGGAAATGGCCTCGCGGAATTTTGACTCATTTTGTCTGAGGAAGTGCTTTGAAATTTGTTTTGAGTCGCATTTTGGTAGAGTTTGGGCCTTGCCCCAGATGCGGCATATTTCTCTGACGCTGATTGAGGCTGCATTGCTTATTTTGTCTTCCTTCTCGGAGTTTCTTGTTTTCCGAAACTCAAGCCATTTAACACTTGACTATCACTCTTATTATTTGCTCTGAAAAGAAACACACAAAATAGAGGTGTAAAAATGTGAGTCATTTATCTTGTTTCAACAAAGGAAAAGCAAATAGAAGAAAAAGTTTCTCTCTCACTCTGTTTGGGGTAGTGCTCCAATCCTATTGAAATCCCGCTTGCTGCATATCCACCTCCCTTCCCCTCAGGGGTGTTCTAAACTGTCTAAGGACTGACCTGTGGTCAAGCTTATTAACTCTTTCACTACCGGGGGGGGAGGGGGGGGTATCTCACCGTGACCGGGCCTTATCGTGACCTACTTTCTGATTCTGCCTACCGTCGGACAAATTAAAGATTTTCAAGTTCATTTTTCAATATTAGCCACATGTATTAATATACGGAAATTAAGGGGAAATAATGACCTATCTCAACATGCTTCTAAAAACGATTATTCTTCAGCCTAACATTTCAGATTTGATTATATTACAAAAGTAGGTGTGGCTTTGAAGCCGTAAGTGGAGAACTGTGATACACGGCTCGCTGTCCAGTGCTGGGGGTAACAGCTCGCGGTAGTGAAAGAGTTAACTGCCACAGTTGTATCTATCTCATCTTCAAAGAAAATGGGACCCATTACCATCTCACCGCTTATTGCACACCAAGACATGACACTGGGAGAATACAGTGGCCTTTCAGTGAAAATATCAGGTTTCGCTGAATCCCACTGAACATTAAACCATCTGTTCACTGCAGTGTTAAGAGAACAGGCAGCTGAGGTTTGGATCGATTTTCACCAATCAGGGTGAAAAATATCACTTCTAACAAATTTGATCTCTCTTTTATTTCATACTTCTAGTATCGATCTTAACAGCTCTCATTGACAGAAATACCCTATAAATAGCATTACAAAGGTTTTTTTCTTTGAACAGTGACTTTTTTTGAGTTGTTAGTTTTCATGCTAAAACTTAAAGGCTGATTTTTTGAGGAGGTAGTGTCATAGAGTTAGTTCAGCTTAAACTATCATGTCAGGTTTATTAAATTCAAACTTTGCACATATTATGATAAAATGTGCATCTGGGTAATAGACAGGAATTTTTTTCCACGATATCTTATCCAGAAAAAAAAATCCAGGCCTGTCAATAAAACAAATTGGGTTAAAATTTAACTCCCTAAATCACAGAAATTTCAAAGTCCCATAAAAATATAAATTATTAGATTTTTGTAAAATTAAGTTGTCAGTTACCCAGATTTACACTTAAAGGAATGTTTTGTGGCATTTTTATCTTTCTGTCCTTCTAAGTGAAATACATTTTGAATTTATTTTCAAGATGCCCGCCTTTACCATAACAACGGGGACATTAACACAATACTCTAATACAAATTTATCTTGCCCTTGCCAGTAATGTAGGAAAGTTTGAATTCTTTGGTCCTAATAATAACAAAGATCTTTCAGCCGTCTACTCCCTTAATGGTAAAAGTGAGCCTCATCACAAAAGCATATACAGATTTAACCCATTCTTGATCTTGCCCCATCTTTCTTTCTAACCAATGGCACACAAGTTTGCTTCACAAGTAGAACAATTGGTCGCTTTTAACCACAAGGGGGTTATCCCGAAAAATGCTGTTTAGAGAAAATCGAAGGTAAAGTTTTTGGACACTTGTTCAGTTCCTCTAAAAGACAAGGAGAGTTTTCTCTATAACCAAACAAATATACCCACCAAGGGAACCAAACTTCTGCTATAGGTAGGCCAATGCCCACTTTTGGCGTAGGTCGAGATTTCTAGAAACCCCCGAATTCTGGGTTAACCCACTTGTCCTTAAAAGCGACCAATTAAGGAGATAAAAGATGGATCTTTTGTAAAACTCTGATGAAGCAAAATTCTTGTCAATTTCCGCTATTGAGATTGCCTACGTCACAAGTGAGGGGCATCGTTAACAAAATTATCAACACCCTTCTTATTCTGTGCATTTTGCACAGACTTTCTGCAACCTGATTGGCATGCCTTCATTGAGGACAGCAGTTCAACTTAGTTGTGAAACTTTTCGATAATTTGTCAAAACTTACTTTTGACCTGGAACTTCACTCAGACCTAGTATATAATCTGTCCTAACTTTCTCTTCATACATACCAGAGACTTAGCTTATTACCAATACATTCAATCATTTCAGAGCTATTAGAAAAAATGTTTTGCTAGTTTTCAATTGAGACAACAGTAATCTTAATAATGATCTTTTCCATTTTTTGTCTACCATATTCTCTATTTTATAAAAATACAGATTATTCCTGTGCCCTTTGTGCTCTCAGGATTTCCATTTCTTTTTTTTTCAAATCAAGAAGATCTGAAACACTTCATTTCAAAAAGGTTTGGGTACATTTGTTTTTGTCAGAAGCAGTAGAACTAACAATATTTGTCATTAAATTGATAAAAGAGTAAAACTGGTGAATTTCCAAATTTGTTTTGATTTAGTTTTTTTTAATGACCTTCCAATGATAAAAAAAAGTTTGGTACTTACTTCAATGTACCTGAATTACCTTTTAAATGCAACTGTTTCTATTGAATTGGCTTGGCCAGTATAAAAAAATGTACCCATTTTTAAGCATCTACTTTATTTTGGGATAAACTGTATCATTGTAGGTGTACAATCAACAAATCTCTAGAACATCATTCTTCTCATTTTATCACCACAGATATCTGGGACAGGAAAACTACTTCCATAGATGATTCTTTGATACTCTTGTGATTAAAAAACTACCTCTTATAAAGTGACTTGGACACCACAGTTTTCTTTAATTAAGACTAAGGAAAAATTGTTTTTGTTTTTTTATAATTTATTTTTTAAATGCACCCTTAACAAATAAGCCAAATGGATGCATCTTTTGATACATTGTATGCATATATTTTACAGTATCTCGTAACTTAAAATCGCACAACTGCTCACCTTTGTTTTTCTTTCCCCTTCGAATTTGAATGAGAAGACCGTACTGAATCACTGTCACTCATAGTTCAAGGCAGGTCTGAAATTTTGAAAATATACTTGAGAATACTTGAGAATGAAGAGACTAGGAAACTTAAACAGTATCAAAGCCAAAGAAGAAAAAGAAGTATATCTAAATCCATTAAAATGGGTCTGATCCTAAGAAGAAGAAGAAGAAGAAGGAGGAGGAGGAGAGGAAGAAGAAGAAAGAGGAGGAAGAGGAGGAAGAGGAGGAGGGGGAGGAGGAGGAGGAGGAGGAGGAGAGGAAGAAGAAGAAGAAGAAGAAAGAGGAGGAGGAAGAGGAGGAGGGGAG